GCAGTTGCTTTTGACTTTGCTGACCATGGTCACGCGTTGGTCACGCTCTACGTCCAATTTTTACGCTCTGATTGGTCAAAATTTGACAGGTGAGCTCATGCAGAAAATTTATGCAGCATCTTGAATCTTGTTTACTTTGACAGCTGAAGCTGACAGAGTTTTGTGTCAACTTGTGATGTTTTTAACTGTCTTTTTCCACTAGATGCACAAAATGAAATTCAGCTGCTATCAGGAATCTTCTGTTATTCATGGCTAGTTGGCTTTTGGTTGAGAAAATAATACATTACTTGTCAAAGTCGGAAATCCGATTTCGAATGGCATCGATTTCGCTTTTCACCTTGCTTGATGCGTAAGGGTTGAAAAGTCTGAAGCGATACTGGCCTTCCTTGATACCTTTCAGGAGCTGCATGTCGAATGGTAAGCCTCTGTAATTATTGTGTTTGATGTTTGTTTTTTATATCTAATTTAATGAAGTCGTGCGCAGTTTATGCGGCTATGTAGTTTGTGCACGTTTGTAAGATTTGAGACAATTTGATATGACCAAGAATCAGGTTTGATATAAGCTTACAGAACTTTAAAAAGCCTTTAGACATTTTCTCACCGCAAATAGAAAGAAAACGTTCTAAAAAACATTTAGTTATAATTCTGGCTGTAAAAGAAAGCTTTGAGCGATTTTCTTGCCTCGAGTTCATCTTTGAAAAAAGTAAATATCGGGAAGCCGGCTTCAAACATAAACTTAAGCTTTCAAGTTAAGCTTGAAGACTCAGGATTTTTAGAGACACTTTAATACTTGTCTTCGTCAATGAAAAATGTTGTCTCCGTACATGTTTCACCGAATTATATTTCTTTGATTGATTATTGGTAGTCTCTCTTGTAATTTTAATCGCCGTGCCGTTTGTTTTCAGTTGTTCAGTGAACATCGCTTGCAGGAGTACTCACAGTGCCGCGGGTATCAAACCGGCGCTTTTAAAGATTACACATCGATAAAACCATTTAATAGAACTGAATAAACATAATAATTTCTTTATTATGTTGTAGCTTAAGTCAAGTCAAGTCAAGTCAATCTTTATTTAAACACGGTAAAATCCATCAGGAATTTAAAAATTAAAAATAACCTAACTATCCTAAACAAAATTCAAAACCTGACTACAACTAATCTAACTAAAACCTGTTTTTCATGAATGCCGTGTATAACATTAAAAATGAACATCAACTAATCTTTTAAATTGACTAAGAGATTCGGCTTCTCTCACATGACAGGGTAGGCTGTTCCAGAGAACTGCTCCGCTATAAGTAAAGCTGTTTTTCATGAAATTAGTTCGCGGAAATGGGACAAATAGTTTGTTAACAGAGTCCCTCAGGGAGTAACGCGTTTCATTTCGTTTAACAAACTTAGATGATAAATATTCAGGAACAAGGCCATTTAAAGACTTGTATACCATTATGGATTTCTGTATTTGAAATTGAGTGCTCAAGTCTTTCCAATCGAGTTGTCTAATCAAACGGTTAGCATCAGCATCATAGCTAGAGAAGGTTAAAACGCGAGCGGCACGGTTCTGAAGCTTCTGTAGCCTGTCAAATAATGTTTTACCACAATTACCCCAGACAAGATTGCAATAATCGAAATGAGATTGAATTAGTGAGTTGTATATATAGTGAAGGGTAGGTGGAGGGACAAAAGGTCTAATTCTTTTTATTGCTCCAATTCCGGAAGCGACCTTTTTAGATAATTTATCAATGTGTGTTTGCCACCGTAGATTTTCATCAATAAATATTCCAAGCGATTTGACAGAAGAAACGTGTTCTATCGGAACATTATTAATCGAGAGCTCAAGTGGGTTCGACAAAGTACTCAATTTTTGTCTGGAGCCGATTAGCATGAATTCAGTTTTAGAAGTGTTCAAAGTAAGTTTATTGGAAATAAGCCATTTGTTTAGGTTATCTAAATCGTGACTCAGAGTTAACTGTAATGAATTCACATCAACGCCAGCATAAGTAATGTGGGTGTCATCGGCATACATTCTAGGCTGGCACGAAGTAAGGCAGTTTGGCAAGTCATTAATATAAATAAGAAATAAAAGGGGGCCAAGGATTGTTCCTTGCGGTACCCCACATTTAAGAGAGCAGATTCTAGAAAGAGAACCGTTAACAAGACATCGTTGTGTACGATTAGTTAAATACGACCTAAACCAATCAAGAGCTGTACCTTGTATTCCGTAAAGGTTCATTTTAGCTAGAAGGATATCGTGGTCAACGGTGTCGAAAGCCTTTTTTAAATCGAGGAAAACCACAGCATTAACATTGCCACGATCAATATTAAAGGCCCAATTATCCGTAGCTTCCAGAAGGGCAGTTGCAGTTGAGTGTAACGAGCGAAAACCCGATTGATGATTAGAAATGATATCTTCATTGGTCAAAAAGTTATACAACTGATCATAAACAATCCTTTCAAACACTTTAGCTATAACGGAAATGACTGAAATAGGTCGATAATTATTCAGATCAGATGGCTCACCTTCCTTGAACAACGGAGTAACTCTAGCACATTTCCAATCATCAGGAAATATACCAGAGACTAAAGATTTATTAAAGAGATCACATAGTGAAACTGAAATAAGATCAGCACATTCACGTACAATTTTAGCAGAAATATTATCAAGACCAGTTGCTTTAGATCTACATAATTTGTTTAGATGTGAGAAAACAATGCTGCAGTTAGTCGAGGAGAAGCTGAAATTGTTGTTATTTACCTTTATATTATTGATATAACTTGAATTATTTTCAGCAGTTAGAGGTATTTCATTAGCAAGTCTGGGCCCAATTGTTGAAAAATGGTCATTAAAAGCATCAGAAAGCTCACTAGAATTAGAGATAATGGTATCATTCAATTTCAGTTCTTTCACCGTTGTATTATTCACACGACGGGATGTAAGCTCATTAAAGGTTTGCCACGTTTTTCGAGGATTACCCTTAGATTGAATAAATGCATTAGAATAATAAGATGCTTTAGAAATTTTGATGTCATTGTTTATTATATTTCGCAACTTTTTGTACCTTTTCCAATCGTGTGGATCATTCGATGTAATTGCTTTTCTTTTGGCAGCATCACGATCACGCATGCCTTTCTTTAATTCTGAATTGATCCAGGGTGCTTTATTTGTTCTAGTACGTCTAGTTCGGAGTGGCGCATGAATATTAACAATATCCAAAAACTTCGTTTTCCAGTCAGTCCACAAAACATTTGGATCTTCAGAAACATTACAGGACCAGTCATGCTGAGCGATATCGTTACGAAAACTCTCTCTATTAAAATTTTGGAAATTTCTATAAGAAATGGTTGAGTGCCTTTTGAAGGAAAAGTGAGAGATAATTTCCTATAAACGTAAATAAGGCTATGATCGCTGATACCAATATGAGAGACTCCGGAACAGACTACCCTGTCAGTATAGTTTGTATAAATTAAATCAATTAATGTTGAAGAGGATTCCGTTATGCGAGTAGGTTCAGTTATAAGCTGTTGAAGCCCAAATAAATCAGAAATTTCACATAAGCGTCGAGTATTTAAATCATATTGTGCAGAGGCCAGGTTACAGTTTAAATCACCTAGCAGATAATATTCTAGGCCGAGGGAATCTAATTTCTCAAGAAATGATTCGTAATGTAAAAATAAATCAATTGAGGAGCAAGGAGGTCTGTACCAAGTGGCTTTCAGAAATGGCCTGGAGTTTGGTTTCCGAATCTCTATACATAAATTTTCAAGACTGGGTGCATTCAAATCAACTCTAGTATGTTCGTTCAAACACTCGTAGACTGCAAAACAGTCCGTATTTTTGCGTATTCAAGTACGCGCGAGCAGTCAAGCAAAAGGTCTGGAATTCTGGAATGAGGCTGAAAACAGAGAGCGAGACTGGGGAGAGACGCTAAAACTCACAAGGAGGGCGGAGTTGCGAACAGATTTTTGACAGCTCGACGACACTTTTGAACCCCCTGGTCGGAACGAACTCATTGTATGGAAAACGGACAGTCGGTTTTTTTTTCCGTGTGAGGCTCGCGCGCTTTTTCGCGTGCGTAAGACTCTTACGCCACGCTTTACCGATTTCTTTACTGATTTTGAGAAAAAAACGGACTGTTTTGCAGTCTAAAACACTCGCTACAGTTCGCACTGCAAAAGTGAGAACCAGCTGGCCGTATATGATTTTGGAATTTTTTTTTAACGGTTTAAAAAGCCCACGCGTGCTTCGATCGTCCTGAATATTGAATGAGTGCAATTTGTGTTGCAAAATTGTGAAATACTGCATTCTGTCCGAGGTCTGTATGATAAAAACAGTACCTCATAGTACTGTTTCACCTCAGATGTGATGTATAAATGGTATAAAAGGTTGGTTTACACGCACCCGGATTTGTTGGCAAGATTTTGTAAAGTAAACTTGTCGAACGCAAAAAAATTCGGCCTGATTTTTTTTCCAGGCCTAATTAATCTAACGGTGATCAAGAGCCATTATGGCTCCTAAATGTGATCGAAGATGATTGCTATTTTTTGGGCGTACATTTGAGGCTATCAACTTGAGGTGAGATTTTGTTCACTCTTAGGCTGTTTGCAAATTATTTTTCTCTAAAATCACTCAGCCTTTCCCTCAAAAGTCACATGAATGTGCTACAAGTTTATTGTTTGATTTAAATTATAAATATATTAATGGGAGCCTCGCTTTTAGCCCTGGCTAAATCTATATATTACGGGTGATTCCCAGTACCCTGCCCCGTACCCTCCGTGTGAATCGGGTGCTTCTCAATACTGTCTGCGGTTTTCGCCAAAAGAGCAGGCGCTTGATAAAATTTTTGGCGCAAAGCATCCTGGGTTCTTCCTCTTCGATCTCTTCGGGAAACTTTCAGGTCTGTGAAGTAGTGTTTATGTAGAATCACATGTATCTTTACGTCAAATATAGAGCATCCGACTCCCAAACCCAGTGTAATAAAAATGCATTGATCCTTTAATATGACTGATGTGTTATTTTTTTTCGAATTTCTGTAGTATGGCTCCTAGAAAGGGTCAAAAACAGCAAGGTGGAGAACAAAATATTTCCCTCGGTCCTCAGGTACAACCATAAAATTATTTCCTTTAGAGGTGTTTATTGTATTGTACTTTTTGCTTTTGTAACTCGACCGAATACTGGACTCAAAAATGCAGTTATTTGCTGCAGGTCCCGTATGATCTTTGAAATAAATTTAAAGGTTTCCTTACTTTACAATTCCTCAATCGAACTCCAGTCAATCTTTAAGTAAGCTGGTTACATTATTATTGAGATATTTTAAAAAACTCTCCTCCTTAGCGGCGAGAATATTGTCGATAATGTGCTTACTGTGGCAGTGCCATTTTACGGGGTCTTGTCATTGAGTTCAGCAAGTTTCAAAATAGCTAGCAAGGCCACATTTGAACGTTCCTTATGTTTACTCCAACACAGCCTGTGTGCGGCATACATGTTTAGAGTATGACATCTTCGGCATTATACAGAGCATCCGCTTTTTACTGTTCATGTCCAATCCAGCTGTAATTCCCTTTTATGACTGTGTGTTGTTTCGTTGTTCATGTAAGTGGGAAGTAAAATCATTTCACCATTACAATAGACAACAGTGTGGTCTCAGACTATTAAACTTTCTTGAATTTTCAGGCCAGTGAAGGTGAAGATGTTTTTGCTGTAGCTCATATCTTTGCTTCATTTAATGATACCTTTGTTCACATCACTGATCTGTCTGGAAAGTAAGTGGAGCATTAATTTTTATTTTATTAATGTGAATTGAAAAACTGAGCATAATTATATAGCCCATTTAAACTCATCACCAATAGATGAGCTTGGGTGCTGGTACCTATAAAGTTGAGCAATAGACGATATTTGTATTCCTCGACGGTCCTGGGAGGAGAGACTTCTCAGCATGATTGCGAGGCTAAAGCGAGGAACTTTTTGGCAAAAACACAAACAAACATTGATTAGTTGCGGCTGAATTGCTGCAAAACGATAGAAATCAGCAAAAGAACTACAAGGTTTTAAAGCTGAAACCTTACGGGTAAGCTAAAGGGATATATGTTTCAAAAAACAAAACTGTGAGAAGAGGTGGTCGTACTAACAGCAAAATTTAAAAAGACACGAAGGCAAAAGAAGAAACAAGAAGTAATCAAGAAAATGGTACGTTGTGTCAAAATGTCAATACTCAAATCCTTTTATACAATTTTATTCTTATTATTCTTCTTTTCCTCTTGTGTGTATCTGTAGTGTGGAGTTTAAACTGCTCAGTATTATCGTCTGTACCAAACTCTGTGTTCAACTGCATGCACGTTTTTGTACTCTCACACAGTTGTTATCGATTATAATGTAACTTAAATTTAAAAATAAACTTTACCTAGTCATCTTTGTTCAAACCAGTTTAACTTCCTTAAACTGCACATGGACTGTTTGCAGAAGTTGTGTTAACATCACTGTTAACTTTATTGCAGGCTTTCGATAATTACGTCCATTTTAATAAAAGGTATTCTTCAAAAAGTTTAAAGGACACTGAAAATTAAATTAAAATGGCTTCAGGGATTTTGAGAACATCTCTGTTTATATTTAATTATGAACTTGCTCACCATTAGCACTCTTCTCATCAATTTAATTGTGATTACGATCACTGTTTTTCTTAGTAATAATGAGCAGATCTTCCTTTGTTGTTTGAAATAATGATCTCTCTCAAGTGTGTAAGCCGTTCAGAACTTTCAATGTTAAAAATTTTCCTTAAATTCGGCAAACTCAGCTGCAGTTTTCTCATATTTGTTTGTCCTCTTGGCGAGAAGTTCCCCGCATGAGCCTCGCATTCATGATCAAGGCCTACTCGTCCCAGGACAGTCGGAGAATACGAATACTGTCTATTCAGTGGTATACTTACCGACCAATACTTTACCTGGCCCTTACCTCAAGAGGTAGGGAGGGATGGGAAAAACCAAAGCACAAAATGGCGCGCAAACAGCAAGCTACTGCAACAACACTTTGCGAAGAACTACAAGCAAGCAGCTGCATATACAAGTCATGAGACTGAGCTTGGCTTCAGTTGCAGTTTTTCTTGAAGCTATTTCTTCTTTGATTTACAATTTTGTTATATTTCTTAGGGAGACAGTGGTACGAGTTACAGGAGGAATGAAGGTGAAGGCTGATCGTGATGAGGTGAGACATAGTGAACTCAATAGGAACCAAGTGGACACAGCGACTGTACTTGAGCTTATGTGGGTTGTCATAGCAAAGAAGTAACAATGTTGCAGAGAATATAAATTATGGCATTAATATAAGTCTACCTGCTGATTTCGTGCCCAAAATAAGCAGCATTTATCAAAGAGGTTTATTTTTCTTATTTGAGTCCGATCAAATTCTTGTACATTTTTTGGACTTAAAAGCAAAGTGCTGACTTGTAGACATGTGACTCAAAGAAAGAGAGATTATTTGCAGTTCTTCAGGTGTAATAAATGGCTTTTGGACAGCTGTACTTGATATGTTTCACTGTCAAGTAATTCTCTAGAAATACAAATTAACATTTTAAGACCTGTCTACTCAATGGTGGATGGTAAAATCCATCAGTTAAATCACCAGTCAGTGTATACTTTTAATCCATTGAATAGCGTGTTCAACTTTAAACATTTTGTTAAAATTTGGTCCTGTTCTAATCTAGCCTGCATTGCAGACGAAACTAAACTCTGGTTAAGTCCGTCTGCGAAACAGTGCCGAAATCCTTGTTCTGGCCCCTACCTGTGTACCAGTATTTGAGTATGCTCCATGATTGGCCTGTTAAAAATGCCATTTTGTCTTTCAAGATGAAAGGAAATTCAAAACACTCTTCCAGTAATTTGTTGACTACATTGGGGCTCAGAACATGGATATCAGTGCTGCATCATAGAGGTTGCTTATCGAGGTAAAATTATGTCTGCGATACCAGCTGGTTCTAATCATGTCATGCTGAATTTTTGTACCAGGCCTCCCCATATGCTGCCATGTTGGCTGCTCAAGATGTAGCTGCCAGGTGCAAAGAAATTGGCATCACAGCTCTGCACATCAAACTTAGGGCAACTGGTGGTAACAGGTTAGTCCTAGAGGACATCATTACTTTGAAATGCCTTCCTGACTTCCAAAAGCTGAGCAAAATATTTGTAAAACTAGTCAGTAACCAAAGGTTAGGGAATGAGGGCATGATTGATCAAAAGTCAAAATACAATGGCTCCAACACTGTGCTTTGAGTGAGTTTTACATGATAAAGGGTCCAAATGTGCATGAATACAGGTATATTGCGTTCTTTGCATTCCGTTCATTTGATGTGGAAGTTGAAACAAACTGCTGGCTACAAACATGCTGTGCATTAGCCGGCGTAGCTGGCCTTTTTTTGTTTTTGGTGTGGTTTTCTTTTGTGGTTCATAAAAAAGATATTCAGCCGCACAAAAGCTGATCTGAGGATGAAAAAGAAAACAATGGGGGAGGGGGCGAGGAGCTTTTGCATGGCTGTAAATCCTCTTTTGCGAACCACAAAAGAAATACACAACAGAAACTGCCAGCTGCGAAGGCTAGCTGCGCGTGTGTGATAGCAACCTAGGGATTAGGATTGCACGCTCTTCTGGTCACCCCAGATTATTGGAAAATGTTGTATTTGCAATGTATTGAAATCTAGGTGAGATAATTTGTTAGTGCTAAGCAAGCAGTGATGTCTTTAATATACGCTGACTTTCCAGTGATAAGAAACACAATCTGAGCTTGCTGCTGTTGTTTCTCACATCTTACTGGTAAATGGTTTTTTGTTTGACTTGTTTGTCTTCTATTTAACAATGACACCTTCTGTGTTTGTATTCAGAACTAAAACCCCTGGCCCTGGTGCTCAGTCTGCTCTCAGAGCTCTTGCGAGATCAGGAATGAAGATTGGTCGTATTGGTAAGTAGGAACAGAATTTGTAGTGATTTTTTTGTTTGTTTTATATTATTAATTTTTTATGTGACCTGGCTTATACATGACCTTTTCCTAATTTCTAGTGAACAGTTTGTAAATAAGCCGCTATCTTCATGTAAAATTCATCCAAATAAAACCCTCCTCAAATTGTAAAAGGACTTTTTTGTCACAAATTTAAATGTCCAGTCTAGTTGTTACTTTGACTCATCAGAAAAATCAGTTTACTGACGCACTATCAGTGAAAATCGTAAAAAAATAACATTTTCGCCTGTGAGCTATCAGACGTTGCATGTCAAATAAGCGGACGTTGTGTCCGGCCTAAAACGAAACCCCTGTACCCCAGTCACTTTCCCCAATAGCAGCAAGTTAGACTATTAAATGTCCATCTGGCCTTGTGGAATTTTTCCTGTATTATATTATTAAGCTTACATTATATGGTAATTAAAGTAACATGATTTATGTTAATCCTGCCTGTTGTTTTGATTTTCTTAACAGAGGATGTTACTCCCATTCCATCAGACAGTACAAGAAGAAAGGGTGGTCGTCGTGGACGACGTCTGTAAATTTTTGTCTGTTACAAGCAGTAAATAAAAGTCACCATTAAGAAAAAATCGTTTTTTTTACAATATTTCTGGCTTGACTCCTGCATAGAGATGTCCATTTTTCTTAGGGTCCAAACTTCCTATTTTCGTTTTATTTGGGTTTTGTGTACCTGGACTTGCCTGGCTGACCAAGGGTCTGAAGACGGCTTTGCCCAAACAGAGGTCTGACGGCTATGCCACGCTGATGAGCCCCAATAACGCCGAAACAGCTGTCCATGGCTGCTCCTGCAGGGGTGATATGGTTGTGAACATGCGTAAGATACTGGCCATACCGCGGAGTTAGTATGTGTGCTTCAGTGCCTAAATTGGTATTGACCAAAGGCTTTTTTGAGCGGTGGACATCCAGCGGAAGTGATCTCCTTCCCATTTATGATACAGGCAAACCTCCGGTAAGTAACCGCCCAAAATGCGAAGACTTAGTGGTTGCTCACGGGAGGTTTGACTGTAAGAAGAACCACATGAGGTTTCTCCTGGGAAGATGTCCGGACACATCTACTTTCTGGATGATAATTTATTTTGCACAGTTTCTAAGTTATGAAACGTGCAGTTCCATTCTAAATTTCTTTGTATATTTTAAGTAGCCTAGTCAGTGCTGTGCTGCAAGAAAAAGTGAAAGGAGCCCCGTGTTCTGAACCTGTGAAATCCAGTTTCTGAGTTATCTTCTGCTCCTGTCCTAACTTTCTTGACGAACTCCTGCAGAAACGCTTCCTATGTAGGCTATGAGAGCGGCGCATGTGAAAAGGCAGGAAGTTATTTAGTTAGCCAATCACAAACAATCACATAAAACACCACACTGTCTTGAACCCATCAGTAGTTGCAAAGTTTAGGAGTGAGAAAAACGAGAGTCGCCTTATTTACTCCTAGCTTAGCCATGTGCATGAATCAGTGCCATTAAGGCCTGGTTAAGACGCCATACTTTTCATGTGCCAAGCCTAATTGAGTAAGTTCGACTTTGGAGCCACACTGGCGCAACATCTGATTCAGACGGCGCACCGTGTGTCGAGCCTTAGAGCCTGTTTACACGGAGGTGGGGGACCTCAGGTACAATGTAGGTGAGGTAACCCGCTTTGGTGGGGTTACGCACTTGTCCATATAATCTCTCATTTTAATTTCATCATGTTTACATGATAAGTGGGGTGACCCACCACATGTTACCTCACCTATCTGGGGTCCCCTACCTCCATGTAAACAAGCCCTAATATTGTTACTTCTTGCTGTGTCAGTTTCGTTTATCATGCTTGTAAAAGGTAAGGTACTGGAAAACCGCATTTTATCATCTCTTTTTTTCATTGTTTGTTTGTTTTCCTGAGAGGCCACCTACGATTTACAGTCGGCTACCGCAAAGCGACCCGTGCAAACTTCAAAAAGAGAACACCAATAGCACATAACAATAACACAAGCGCAAACTTATTAAAGAAAGTTTCTTACTGCACTTTTCAAAAACACGCGAACTCTGAAGTTCAAAAAGCCGCCTTCACATTTTCGTTTTTCGCTGCCGTCAATCACAATACGATCACAAGCAACGAACCTTGTAACACAGAAACACACAAAACATATCGAAATCCATCAGTCATAACAGAAGTAACAAACCATGACCTTTTGAACCTGTTGATGTAAACGTTTGTTTCCTAAGAGGTCCGCTAAGATGACTGACGGCAGCGGAAAGTGCAAACGTCAGTTGGCTTTTGAACTTTAGAATTCGCGTGTATATTAGCCTGGGACCAGGCTCCACATTGTGGGAAAAAGGAGAAAAAATCGGCGTTGGCGAAAAAAAAAAAATCGGCCAGTGAAGCGAGTCGAGAGGTAGTCTGGGGAGGGGAAAGGGTGGCCTTTTCCCCCTTCCCAGGATACCGCTCGGCTCGCTTAGATTGATGTTATTTTTCCTATTTGACACCGTTTTTTGCCTTTTTACCCTACTGCGGAGCCTGGTCCCAGGCTACGTGTTTATGAAAAGTGCAGTAAAGGTAAGGTAAAACGGGCAACAAATCGAAACAAAAAACTTGCAATTTGTTTTAAAACATTGCTGCAAAACGAGTTGAATAGCGATGTTGCGCGTTTTACCACCCACGAAAAAAACCTTGCAACCTTATTAGCTGCAAGACAGGTTCGTAAGTCTTGGCTCAGTCTTGCACTGAAATAAAGGTTGCTGCAAATTGCGTGAACAGTGGCTTCTGGTTGGATAGAATGTAAAGTACGCGGAAATCACGCCATTCAGGGGAGTTGGGCCGGTAAAACGCACAACATGTACAGATTTTGTCGCAAAAAGTACAACTACTCTCTACTTTCTCCAAAAACTTTAAACTTGCTACAACCTAATTTGTTACAAGACACCTTAGCAGAAGGAAAGCACTGGTTCATTTCTCCCATTATACTACGTACTACGTGAGATGTTTCTGCAATTTGATTGGCTTAGAGCAGTGGTATTTCAGCTTAATTTGAAATACCTACATGTGAAAATTACAAACCTTTTGCGTGTTGTGGTATAAACAAATAATAGCATATTTGGCATAAATACCACTCGTGAAATTTCAAAATTGTCTTAAATTTCACTCGCCTAACGGCTCGTGAAATTACGTATAACAATTTTGAAATATCACTCGGGGTATTTATGCCAAATATCACTTCAAATCATGCTATTATCTATACTAATTTTTTTTTCGGAACCAGATCTCTGCTAGTCTCCTTTGCGGCCGTTATTAGGGTCGTCACCGTGAAGGAGAGTACTGAGAGATTTTCTACTGATATGAGGTCTCGTAAATTAATTTGCGGGCCTCTCTTTTCTTTTCAAATTATAAAACCATAACTAGCTAATTTTCTCCGGATTCTCTCTCCAGCCCCAAGCCTGAATTTGACGAAGGATAGCGTGATACCGTGTAGCATGAAAATTTTGCGGGTTCTAATTTTTGCGAATTTTGCGGATTGACCTCGATCCGCAAAAATTAGTTCGCGCAGAAAAAAAACCCGCAAAATAAAACGCCGCAAAAATTAACTCCCTTCAGTCAAATTAAAAACTCTGCTTTTAACGGACTTGTTGTGCATGGTAGGGATACTGGATAGGCTTTTGTTCAGTACCTTTGTGCAGTAAGATATTACAGTGATTACCGTATTATTCTCCATTAAATATGTAAGTAGAGTGAACTTTGACTCAACATACCGTAAAACAAAAGTTGAAAATACCATATTAATGTTTCTTCCACTTAAATATTCTGCTACTTGAACAGAGAATCGCAAAAATTAGTTCCCACCAGAAATTTCTGTCATCTCGAACCGCAAAAATTTGTTCCCGCAAACCACAAAAAAATCGCCAATCCGCAAAATTAAACTCCCGCAAAATTTTCATGCTACACGGTACTATAATAACATTACATGACGAAATAAACTAGAAAGAAAAGTGAACGTTGAAGATAGATGAAAACAAAAAACCGCAACATGAAAAAGAAATTTGAAATGTAGTATAAATAGGGTGGTTGCATTTGCCGTTGGAATTTTTCATTGCTCAGCCTACTTGAAAAATAAAAAATTCCAACAGGCAAAACGACAACTTTACGAGTAAATGAATCCACGTAACCATAAATACAAACTGAAGGAACGGTCTTACATTTCATCTTTTTTACTTAATTATACCTAAAGGTTCAAGAATTTTACCCTGCTCGATGTGGTATGCTTCTCTACCTTTTGTTTGATCGAGTTTAATAAATTGGTGAATTATATTTGCCCAATTCACCATTTTATTTTTGTTTTCTTTGTTTATTTTTTTCTATCGTTCTTCCTGCCGTAGGGATCATTCTACTGTTTTAATTTTAAAATTTGGTATTGAAGATTTTACTGATCCAGGTCTACCAAAGATCATGAGCCTCACTGGTTTGTCGTTTTGCCTTCACAAGTGTTTCTGATACAATTTATGTTAGGTACCCCATCTAAGGATCAAACCGGGAACCCAACGCCCCAACTGCGCAAAAATCAAGATACCCTAATTAAGGATAGCCTGCGTAGCAAGCGTTTCTGTGCGGTTTAGAAGCAAAGAACGAGGAACGAGAGTCAAAGATCGCGCGAAAAATGGCGCAAGTAAAAGAGCTCTCGTTTCATTTCTCGCTCGGTCAAAACTGAAAGTCCCCTTCCTTGGTCTTTCTTTGCTCTGAAACCAAACGGAAACGCTTGCTACGCAGGCTAAATTTAGGATTGAGACCCTCAAAACCTAACCCCATCGGACGGCACATATCTTTCCAGCCCATATGTTGAAGTACCCCCGGGGAAAGCGGATCGAAAAAAGTTACACGAACTTGACCGCTTGGGGGCTCGGAAGAGACGGGAAGTTGGAGTCTACTAGTGGTATTTCCCGTTTAAGGAAATATCCGTTGTATTCACGTTGTTGGAGAAAGGCAATTAAGCTCGGGAGTGTGAAGGTTTCGTTGGTAGAGCAAATGCGGCGGAGTCTAAGAGCTAGGCGGAAAGGAATAGTGCGTTTGGTGTGTATGGGATGGCATGAAGAATTTAGTAAGTATTGGTGTTTGTAAATAGATTTGGAGTAAAGGTCAGTCATGATTTTTCCGTTTTTGAGAAGTGAGGCGTTGACATCAAGAAATGGTGTGTGTGTTGGGAGGGGGGTGGCGTGGGGTACTCATTCGTTTTCGTTGGGGTTTTAGTTTTCGGTGAGGTCTTCATTTTCGAGTGTGAGAGGCTTTCTTCACAAAGAGGGTCTTCGTTTTTGTAGGTGGCCTTCGTTTTCTGTTTTCACTTAGATTATCTCTTCAATCACAACTCTGATTTTCTTGCTCGGCCTGTGAAGTTCGAGTTGTCAATTTTGCGATGGGCACAACTCAAAATTTTGTGATGAAAATCAGAAGAGCAAATGTAAATTGTAATAAAAACACAGCCGATTTCTCAGACAGGGAATTGGTTACTTTGAGTTTTTTTGTTTTCCGCGCCCTTTCGCACGTTCCAAAGACAACAAAACGGAGAAAAACCTGGTGACGAGTCTCATAAAAAGTAACATGGCTGAAGACTCGTATTGATACTTCTGGTAAACAAATACACATGGAGTTGTGGTTTGAATGGGAAGAAAATAACGAGGAACACTTTTCCTTCGACGACAGTGATCGTTTTGAAGAAGACTCACTCTGTTCTTGGGTTTCAGAGCCGGAAAGCATTTGTGGAAACTGGCGAGGATGGAAAAGAAATTCTCAAAATGTGATCCAACCTGATGGCGACGCGGAGCTCGGTGAATCAGAAGTGGAACCTCTGCTTGAAATATGTGCGAGAAAAGTGGCTAAACATCTGCCTTTTGAAACCGTTGAACGGATATATCCTCAAATCCCTGAACAGCTACAGCTAAGGATCGCTTTTTGGTCCTTCCCGCCTTTAGAGGAAGATATCAGGCTTTACTCGTGTCTAGCAAATGGTTCCCCAGATAAATTCAATGAAGGCGAACAGCTGTTGAAGGTTCAGGCGGTGAGAGACGCTTTGCAAATTGGTAAGCGTATTAATATAAATGCGTGGGTTACATTTTATTTTATTTAATTAAAAGGCACACGAAGCTCAAACCGACAAACGCAAAACAGGTTCCATACACATACAACTTGAGGTGACACACATTCATCTTATTTGGACAAAAAATTAATAGTTAGCTTTACTGTGACTATTTGCTCAACCTCTTTCAAATGTAACTAACTTGCGTAAACAGCCACGTTTCCCTATGGAGAGAAATTTGAGTTTTTTAATAAGTTAGAAATGAAATGTTTATCATTTACATGAAGATGGTGGTGGGTCAAAAAATGGTGCAGGTTATGAGTACTGACTCGATCATTACTCTAAAAGGGTAGGTTGAAAATTATGCTGGTCTCTGAACAAAGGAGGGAGTTGTTCTGTGATGGTGTGGAGTAGAATGCTTTGCTTCTCTGCCATATTTGGTAAATAGCCGGGGGGCGGGGGGCAGACTTCCATGTGAATGTGAGGGGTATGCTTGCCTCATTAAGGGGTGTAAATTGATGAATATGTGGGTGTCACTCAAGGTGTTCAGGACAAAAATTGATATCAATACTTTTATGGATGTTAGAGAATTTCTGGTTGAAATTAGGCCTTTTTGAGACTGATAACAGAAACCGATACTTTTCTGGAAAGATTAGTTATCTACCTGAATGCTCTCTTCATCACCTTGTGCTAAGTAGTCAATGCTCAATATTTCCTAACCCTCTTAAGGGTTATTTTCGCATAGGATAAGGACCTTTTAGAAAACAATTCCCACAAGCAGCGGGGCCTCGAAACAGTGGCATACAGCTGTATAAATAAACCAACAACTGCAGGGGTTTCATTAAGGTTTTGAACAGGAGGGCGACAGGGTTTGACACCCAGGCAAAGAGCTGGCAAGGGTGAGAGGGTCTTGCTCTCCTAGGGGGGTCCGGGGGCATGCTCCCTTGGAAAATTTTGAAATTCTGTAAGTTGCAGACAATGTTTTTCAACTACCAAACAAATCACAACTTTCCTTGACAATCACGATTTGAATCATGATTTGATTCCAATATCCACCACACAAATTGGTTCTCGTTTTAAGTTTTAATGGTTCATAAGTTTTGAGACATTTTAGATGGTCTGTTATGAAGCACAGTTGTTTTCGCAATGCATTATGAGGCGATTCTTGTTTTCAATGCATAACAAACTACATGTAGGGGATTCCTCGTGCGATAAAGTGGAAATTTGATCGTAAAGTATGTTTTGAGATGAGAATAAGATGAGAAGACTCATCAAGAAAAGAGCACAATTGTAAATTAAGACTGTTTTTTCTCGTTCCTTGTATTAAAAAAGGTTCTTTGGGATGATAAGCAGCCAGGCAAAGTCACATTCACAGCTGGTCAATATGTCCGGTGCCCGGCCCTTAATGAAACCCCTGCAACTGCGCAGGTTATAAAGTTTCCTTAATTAAGTGCCCCTAGCAGTTATAAATTGTTCACATTTGCTGGCCTGACTATTAATTTTGTTTGAGCCTGCAGTTAGCTGGAGATCCTAGGTTTGACCCTTTAAACCCTAATATCAAAATTCAAATTCTCATTTGTTGTCCATGTACATTTTCAATAGAAGTTTTGGGGAGAATTTGTTACTACATCAATTAGATTAATCTTGTGTGGTTATGTCCTCTATTTCCATGAACACTCGGAGCATTGAAATTATAAGGAGAAATTTCAAGCTGATCTCTCTCAGGCATGAAAGGGATGGCCAGTTAATAGAAGTGGACTGTTTTTATTACTGTTGTCATTGCTATGTGTACATAAAAATCCAGAAACAGAAGTTCCTCTTTTGTATTAATTTTACAGGTTTTCATCTTAGTGCAACTGTTCACCAGCCTCATTCCCCCTGCAAAAGTAAAGGAACGTTTAATGTTGCTGTGACGTTTGACCGAGGCCGCATCACATCATGCAATTGTACTTGTGAAAAAGCTGCAACATGGTGTGCGCATGTTATTGCTCTGTGTCTGTTCAGAATACACTGCCCTAACCATGTGTGTCTAAGAGCTCCTGTGTCTGAATACTTATCACGCTTAAGACGAGATCAACTGCAGAAGTTTGCACAGTATCTTATCAGTGAGCTTCCTCAACAGGTACATAGTGACATTTAGATTTAATTATGAGTATGAGATCAAGTACTATATCCTGTTACAGACTCAGTTCCAGTTGCTAAAAAGGTGGATAGCGCTATCCACCGGATTGATCACTATCCACTTTATAACAGAATTCTTTTCCCTTACACTTATCCACTGGTTAGTGTCTTATCCCATGGATAGCCCTATTCATGTTTTGAGCAACCAGGGCCTGCAGATTAGGAGAAACGTATAGTATTATTCGTTCAAAATATTGTGCCATTCTAAGAAAGTAAAATTGTTTATATTGAGGCTGCTCAAGTTATTATTTGTTTTATTAGAATCGATGTCCACAATAAAATGCACCTCACTTGTTTCATGTTTTTTTTTTATTACATCAAGGCAAAAACTTTTGTTACTTGTTTGACTTCCAAATGCGGATTTATCTTTTGAAAACTGTCTTGAATAACTACAAAACATAGCGTTTCTTTTGTAACAAATCTCAATGTCCTCACTGGGAAATAATAATGTGCATTCAACAGAGACTCCATCAAGATTTGTGCATTCTGTTCTTTCTTGCGCCCATTACTATGAAGTCCTCAAGGACTTGTAAAACATGTGATAATGAACACTTTTTTAGGCTATCTAATTCTTGCACCTCTAATTTGCTGTTGCTTCATCTGTCTTCGTGGATTCCAATTGAAATAGTAGAGGAGGCTCGTACATTTTGTATTTTACAATTGCACAAAGAATTAACAAGCTATAGCAGGCCAGAAAAAAAGCATGGCGGTGATATGGAGCACATCTCACTGCAGTTCATCATGGACTACGTTTACTTTCATAAACTGCTGGTTAAAGCACAACAGGCTCATTCAGGCCAAATGTTAAGTTTATAGTGTATTTTTAATTCCCATGTTTGTTTTACTTTTGTCTAACCTTTGGGCATCATGAACCTTTCCAAGTTAAAAAGCTGCCTCGGCAGTTTGGGTTGTCCAAGGGGTAACCACTCAGCACAAAAATTATTGTTTGCCCCATTGATAATTTTGGTTGTCTGGAACAACCGGACAGCCGTTAATTTCGAACCCTGACAATCCTGCAGCTAATTTTTCATATCCATCCAGTGCTGACCAAATTTCTGACTAAAACTTGAAGGAAGAAATGTGATGATCAAAAATATTGTTTGATGGATTTTACCTACTTTTCTTCTATCTGCGAGCAAAAACATCTCTTTATATCCTGAAAACATGCCTAGAAACAGGTGAATGTCTTGGAGGAGGTGAGGTTGTTAGGAACTTAGAAATATCTTGATTGAATAAAAACAATAATTATTGAATTTGGCTTCTCTGTCATGTCCAGAATTATGCAGATCTTAGAGGCTGTTATTCGTTGAGGCCAATATCCTCCTTGACCTGTTACAGAAGCCAGCAAGTAATCTTGTTTTTTTTTATACAGTATTCCATGTATCTCTTTAATTTTTTCATACTTTTTCATGGCAAAATAACAATTGAAAATGATCTAACAGCCACTGTCATTTTCTTGAACAGCTACTTCCCACTGCCCAAAGGCTACTAGATGAGCTACTTTCATCACAAGAGTCCATGATCAACACTGTGTCAGGAGCCCCAGGTGAGTTGGAGCAAATTGTTGCCCATGTTGATGAGTTAAATACCGGTATACAGTCAAAGCTCTCTCAATGGACACTCAAGTAATGAGCTTAACATGTGGTCACCTTGACAAAACATGGTTTGAGCTCCCTGCTTAGCAAGCAGTCTTATTTAGTGGCCAGCTTTGGTTGCTAACACTCATTCTACACTTAGTCGTGAGGGTGTCTGCCTAAGGCACAAAATACTTGAGACACTGTACCTTGTTTGTGCGTACTTGGCCTTTCCATGATCTAGTGCTTGTGATCCCCCCTCCCCTCCCTTCCCATTTTCAAAGTTGTTTGCACTATAAGACCATGCAAAAAATGTGGAGGAACAACTTTGAATTGATGAGAGAGAGGGGATGAGTTTTATATCTCACAGTTGTGTCACTAGCAGCAAATTTTTTTTTCGCTAGAGTGTCTCAACTTTTTTTGCAACTGGTTGGAGCTTTGACTATATTACTGCCATTGAACCAACACTGCTCACTGCTTTTTAGGACATTTTCGTAAATCTAAAATATGAGGCATACATACATGTAAGTGTTTTAAGAGTTGATGAATGGAACAGCTTCAAACCCTTTCTCTCAGTGTAGATCTATTCATTCTTTCAATAGTTCTAAGTAGACATGTCATAAGGAAGTGGTTACAGTACTGGCATACAACAGCCTGTTTTGATCCAAACCACTGCCTATTTTGTTGTGATTTTCGCGGACATTTTACATGTGTTGCCCTTAAACCGTTGACAGCAGTGCCGCCATACAAGACTACACTGCTTTAAAACATTGCAACTTTCTCAATCACATAAACATTGCCTTTTAAGTTATAAATTGTCAGTTGTGAGCATTGCGTAGAATGTCCTTCAAATTGGAACATCCAATATAAACAAAAAAAAGCAAGCATAAGCATGAGTCAGTATAAAAAGCTTATGTATGTGCTAGCATGGACAGCATTAAGCATAATAATAAACACAAGAATGTTAAAACCTTGCATTGGTCTTATGCTTATACTTAACAATTATTCCATGAGTGTGCATTGGATATGAATTGGCTATAATCATTTCACATCCAACAAGCACGAGTGGAATAATTATTGTTTTATTAAAAACATCAACAAAATATTGATAATTCTATGCGACTTTATTTGTAAAAACCACCGATTTTCAGCTTGTTATTAATTTTGAGCAACAACAGTCAACAACAACGACAACTTTATTGACTTTATCTTCAACATTAAGATTTCAGTACTAAAACAGTCAATACAAAGACAAATGAAACAAAGTGAAATAAAAGTTAAGTAAGAAAGAAAGGAACAAATTTAATATTGTCATAAAAGAAAAAAAATTACTTGACTATGTACGGCTTCCATGCTACTTGTATGGTAAGAAAGTTTAATTAGAGTTCGGATGCATAACAATTTAGAATATTTTCGATATAAGAGGCACTGAGATTTAAGATGTTTTGATCGCACATGGACATGATATATAACAATAGTGCTTTGTAAGACATATTCGTAAAATTACTGTTTATCGAGTATAGGCTCTCCAAGAAGATACCCCTTATATGAGAAAGTGATGAGTGGGTACATTTCAACAAATAGTGGAATTCATCACCAATTTCGGATCTATTACAAAGGGGGCAAAGCCTCTCAACTTAGGGTATCTTCTTGTAGCGCGCAGACTCAATAGGTAGCAAGTGGCAAGAAATACGCATTTTGGTTACTGCCACTCTTGTCTTAACGTTCTTTATTAAATCAAGATAAGATTCAAATCTGACTTCGTTTTTCACTTCACTGTACAGACTTAATTTATTGCCAACTGAGGAGTCGAATTTATCCTTGTTCAGACTTTTTGACCAATATTCTTGAGCAGACGCATACAGTTACCATATTTAGAGAGCATGGTATAATGGCTGATATACCATGATGGTTAAGCCAATCAGAGGTCTAGATTTGCATTATCCAGTGATTCAGTTTTTAATAATTATGCTTATGTCATGACCGTCCCCATTAGCTCATGCTTGCTAGTTAGTTACGTTCCTAGTGAGGACTGCCCTTTTAGTTTTGGCACACAACTTATATGCTGGGATCCTTGGACTTTATGAGCTCAGGGCGTTTAGGCTCATTACTGTTCCTCTTAGAGCACAGACTTGTGCCTTCTTCAAAAGCTTAGAAAAAAACCCTGCCTACTTTTTTAGGAGAAAATACACCTTTAGCTCTAATTGCTTGGAAAAACCTCATCTTTGTTTTACCTGATTTAAAGGCTCTCATTTAGCATCTTAGTCGATTACTCTTTGTATCTTTTAATGAATTATTTTGATTTCCCTGGTACAGTCAAACCAGGTCAAGCGTACCCTTCCAAGATTCCATTCATGAAATCATTATTCGAAAGTTGAATCCAACGCAAGGCAGAACTTTGAAATTTCCACCAGCTCAGTTTTCCTGAATTTGATGTAAATGTCTCCTAAGAAATTTAATTCATTCAAAGATTTTCAATCTGACCAAATACAGAGAAGTTCTCATTGAAATATTCACTGCTCATTACACATGCAGGCAGCTGATTTGAATTTGACACTAGTTATGGGAACAACTAACAGATTCATTTTTCAAATAATCAGCTGATTAATAGAATCTTAGGGGTACACTTGGGCTGCCTTGACTGTAAATGTTGTAATAAAACAATATTTTACCCTTTGCAAGAATTGTTTTGAATTCCACAACATCCACTGAGTTCTTGCTCTGTTAGATCCCACTGCTGGGCCATCAGCTACTGATTATTCTAAATGGTGCTTGGATGAGGGTTCCCTCCATGAAAACATCAAGAAGATGCTGATTAGATTCTGTGGTCCAAGTCCTTTGGTGTTTAGTGACGTCAATGCTCTGTATTTAGCCAACACTGCTCCTCCAACAGCTGCTGAGTGGTAAGATTATAATAATTACAGTTAAATACTGTACTGCAATTATAATATTCTACTCCGATACTGTTGCACTGTTAAATTAACGTGGGAGCAAGTGTGGTACATTGGTGAGAGCACTTGCCACCCACCAATGTGGCCTGGGTTCAATTCCTGGCGTCAACACCATACACTGTATGTGGGTAAGTTTGTTTTTGGTTCTCTCCTTTGCTCTGGGAGGTCTTTCTCTAGGTACCTACTCCATGGTTTTCCCTGGCCTCTCCTCAAAAACCAACATCGCCAAATTCCAATTTGACCAGGAATGGTAGATCAAGATCAACTTTATTCATTTCATTTTAATAACAATGAGGAGGATAAAGAGAAGGGTTTTAGGTGAAAGGAATACCCAAGTAGTACAGCAACAACTGTGTTAAAAAGGGAACCGAACTTGAAATGGTTTTTTGCAGTTATCAGCTACTCTAAAGTTATTTGTTTAGTGCTTTCAATAATTATCATTGGCTAAAAAAAATTGGATGCTCCTTTCAGAGAAGTTGAATATTTTTTCCCTTTACCGAAGTAACTAAAACAAGATTCTTTCCAACTTTCTTCATAAAGTTGGTTACTGTACTCAAGCCAGCTGCATCTTCAAATATATTGTATAATGAAACCCCTGACTTTTGCACCTCTCTTTGTAGACATATTTCTATTAGAGAGTTCTCTTTGTCCAAGGGAACAGTGCAAAGATTAGTACAGTCAGTTAGTGCATGGGAGGTTCCAAGTTCGATTCCCAGGTGTGATCTCAATCCTTGTTTCGACTCTTTCCCTTCTGCATACCTTTACTTAGCTTTAAATAACCATAAAATGAGCACTGATGGAGAGAGGGGGTAAAATGAGCATGCCATTGGCCTCAGATTTGTCAGTCTAATGAGTAGTGTTATGAGGTACTGACATAAAGTAAGGACCTTTACAACATTGTCCCTTTATAATTTTAACTTTTGTCCCCAAGTTACAAAAGTGTGACTTCTTTGATTTACAACAGGTCAAATTTGCTGAGACCATTACGAGGACGAGAGCCTGAGGGAATGTGGAACCTTCTCTCTATTGTCCGTGAACTCTTCCATAGAGGTGATATGAATGCCGTTAACCTATTGGTCATTCTAACGGAAGAATGTCTAGCCAATGATCAAGTACTGGTATGGTGGTTTGATAGTCGGAGCCAGTTGTCAGGCAATTCATCCTCACACAATCATGGCAACAGAGGAAATACAAATGCAGCAAGCACTGAAGCCACTAAGCATGCTTGTGCAGGATTCTGTGATGAGCTCGTGTCCCTGTGGAGGCTGGCTGTATTGAATCCTAAGTTATCAGATGAAGAGAGAGAGGAGATCAAAGTTCAGTTACTGGAGTGGCATCACAAAGTGATTGAGAAGGGTCCTGCAGGTGAAAATAAGCAATAGTCAGACCTCCTGTAAGCAACCACCTAAAAGTCAAAGATTTGTGCGTATGAGAATCAAGAAGCAGGGCGTCTCTTCCGGGAAGGGGTCCTAACACATCTAATTTTTGGAAGATATTTATTGCATGCAATTTCTGAGTTACGTATTTTAGCAATAGAAAACGTTCCCCATGTTTGCATAGCCTGATTTAAACACGAGAGGGGTTGGGAGAATTCGAGACAGTTATGCAAACCCAATACTGTTGAGAATTCTCCCAAACCCTCGAGTGTTTATATCAGGCCATGCAAATACAGGAAAAAAGTTTTTTATTGCTTTTATAAATTAACTTTGCTGAGAAAAAACGCAATACTCTTTGTTATGGCACTGATTAAAAGAGAAATTCAGAACAGTCGATGAACTAAAATGCGATTTTTAAGTTACATACAAAAATTAATAGTTCCATATTGTCATTGAAAGGTCTTGTCATACTCTGAGTGGCATAGCACATTGAGTGAACAGAGACCACATCACACGTCAAGTGGTCGCTTACAAGAAGTTAAAAGCAATGGAAAATGATAAAACCATCATGCCAATAAAGTGGTCACAGTTGCTTATAAGAGGTGGCTTCTTGCAAGAGGTTTTTATTATAGGGATTTGCTTGAAAAATTTTGGTTTTTTGGATAGGTGGTTGCTTGTGATATAATTATGGTTGCTTGTGATAAGTGGCTGTTTATTAGAGGTGATCCCATGTTGAGGTTTGACTGTTTTTCTGAAAATATTTATACATGCAGTTATGTCTTATAGTTAGAGTTAGGTATGATCCTGTACCTGCTAGCCGGCAAAAACAGACATATTTCTGGTGAAGAGAAGCGAGGGCCAGAAATACATCTGCGTTCACAGGCTATTTACCCCCTACAATGCCTCTGTGCTACCCTACAGCACTATGACGTTATATTTCACTTGATTGATCTGTGTATAAAATTTCTGTAATATTAAATGCTTTATATTTTTTTCAGGGAGAGTTGGTGGTCATACAATCCCTCAGTCAGTGATGTCTTGTTTTCCTGGTTTCTTACCTGCAATTGAGGCTTGTGCCCTCAACTGGAAGAACATTGACCTTGGTATTGATCTGGAAGAGATTGATTCTCAAGTTGCACCTCCTCTCACTCTTCGTTGTGCAAGAATCTATGCTCCATGTTCAGACAAAGATCCAGAGAGTGAACAACAACAGTCAACCACTACTGTCACGGATCTCGTTACAGGAAAAGAGTGAGTAGCATGTTTTTATGATGGTAATAGAACTAAGTGGAGTCCAATTCGGTCAGAAATCATACAAGTCATTAACAAAATCGAATGGCCGCATAGCAGGAGTCTGATTTGCCTAATCACAAGTATGTCAGATTACAGACCGATTTGGAGAACACAAAGTTCTGTTACCAATTAATCATAACTATAGCAAAATTTAAGATAATTATTTAATTAACTATCTATATTAATTATTAATTTAGAAAATATAGGATATTCCGAGAGTTTTTTTTTGCTGAAAGTAAAATTAGAAACCCATTCAAGTGTGCGCGATGGTGTGTACTGTCCTGTTACTTAGGTATGATGTGTCCCATCCTATTACACTGTGCTATTAATGCTAAAATCAGGACAGCTGATAGCCAATCAGATTTGAGAGTTTTGGTTTAGTTATGGTTAGTGTAGAAATGGTGTCCTTATTTCATCTGCTGACAGAGGGAATTTTATGACATGGTCATGTACATAATAAGATAAAACAGTAAACCATTCGTAATTCCAAAACGTTGTAATTTGTTTTTAATTCCTTGCTTAATATGGAAAGTTATTGAAGTCTAAACTAGGTATCTAAAGTATGTTTCCATACTGGATTTGGATGTGATGTGTGGTATGAGAATATTTAGTGGAGGTTTGATTGTCCCTCTGACCCAAGTGTTCAAAAGATAAGTCATTATCCAGTGAAGAAGTTTTGGGGAAACAAAGTGCGCTATCCAGTGGATAGAGAGTTTCTGATGGATGGCGTTAACTACCTTTAAAAGAACTGTGGCCTGTTGGTTTAGAGAGCCGTGCTAAATTTCCTTTGATATTCTTTTGTGTGGATCCTAATTTGTTTTCAGCGACCAAAACAACCAGACTGTGAATGAAGAAAACCCAAGCAGTGCTTTGGAAAGTGACTGTCGTCCCATCCCAGTCCAAGACATTGACGATGACCTTGAGGTTTTGTGCGCTCGAACAGAAGCTCTTCACGTTCATGGTTACCACACAGTTGCTGGAAAACTTGCTGTGAAACTGGCTGATAACTTTTTGAGTTACGGTACAAAATTAAATTTGTCCTCTCACTGTAATGGTTCAAAAAGCAAGAACAAGGGTGTAGGAGCTACTTCACTCGCGAGTACAATATTGGTGAAGGCAGCCTTTCTTTGTCGCGTGCTTGAAGATGACCTGCAGTTCCATCATTTGGCTTTTAGAGTTGGTATGTTGGGTCTAGAGATCCCACGTCAACCAGCAAGGAGTAAAGCTTTAGAGGTAAAAACACCGCTTGCGATACTGTAGACTTTCCCTGTTACTGAGTGCTATGCACTTTAGGCCATATCCATGTTTATTATATGGCTGAATCCTCTAGCCGGCAAGATAAAACGAATATCATGGTTTGATTGGCTACCCAAGAGGGTACTATGGGCATCTTGTCAGCTTAGGATTTTCCGCTTTAGCCCAGTAAGAAATAGTTCTCTTTTTGACCATATAGTAAATCTTTCATTGACCAACCTCGTTCGATCATTGAATATGCCTGAACATTGGCCTCGTCCAATAACCAACCTTGACCGAACAAGCTTGGTCAACAGCGTAACTATATATAATGTCTAACGGACCATTCATTTTTTTGTAAAAGATTCCAAACCCGGAAAAGATTTATTAGATTAAATTTAGCAAGGGTTCATGATCCATGTGTTTCCTTTAGACGCCAAGAGCTCTCAACGTTTCACCGTCTTGCGCCGAAATTGCTCTAAACAGCAGCAACAAGGCTTGAGACAGTAATTATTCACTTAAGTTGCAAAACGGGTTTATTGCAGAAGTGTCTCAACTGTTTTGCAAGTGTTTGTGGACTCTGTTAACTGAATCAAAAGGTCATTGTTTTTTGTCAAGAAATCTTTATGCTGGCTAACCCTTCACAACCTTGCTTGTTGACGCTTCAGGCGAAACTTTCATATCAAGAAACTGAACTTGTTACCTTGCTAAAGAGACTTCCCCTTGCACACGCTGAACTAGCTATTATCCGAGAGAAGGCAGAGCTATTACAGCAAGGTCAGCTGAAACGAGGAGACGCCGTTCTTCCCATCATGTTGGCTACCTTTATCTTTGAAGTTTTGTGCCCAAAGAATGGTGGCTCACAAGCAAAGCGGCAGGCCACGGTGAAGCTGTGCGAGACAACCCAGGAAGATGAAGAGCTGGGATTCCAAGCTACGCTCTTTGTTTTAGGTACAGCACAGTTTACATGGAACTTAGCGAAAACAGCCGTTTCTCCTCGTTGCTCGCCGCTTGGGACGTTTCGTTTCTCTCCTGGCAAAACGGCCCCATCGGCAGAGAGCGTTTAGAAACGGCTGTTATCGCTAATGGAACTGAGATTTTCTTTTCTCTTATTTTAAATCTCTTAACTTGCAAAGTGATCTACATCAATGCGTGTGAGGAAACTTGTTAGGAAATTCTCCTTTCTTTTACAGATGGATAAAGCGTGTTGTTTGATTGATCCATTTCTCCGGTTAAGATTGTTTCTAATTCCTTTCATTTAGATTTCTTTGTACATGCATTGCTAACCACGCCTGTTCGACTTATAAAACAATATTGCAATATTCAGCCCTCTCGACCCAGTAAGCGTGTTCAAGAAAGGATACACTAAATTAATGTGTTTTAACGGCAACAAAGTGAGCAATGCTGAGCGGGCCAGTATGTTCACCTAGCCTCCTCGGATAAACAGTAAGAACACAATATTCACCTCATTGCCCAGTCAAGTCCAGGGATAGTTATATCAACCAGTGCGTTAATGGGATAAATTAACGTCCGTGAAAAGTTTCGTTCTTTGGGTAAGAGGGCACTCATAACTCTGGAACAATAGCTTACTGCTGTAGCAGTACTTAGGAGTTTCCGTCCGTAATCTAAAGTTCGCTGTTCGTTTGCTTGCAGATATCTTAGTGGTTATTAGACTATATTTAACGTTTGCTAATGGAATCTTCTTCCTTTCTTAGGAATGAAGGGCAATGCTTTGGAGACCCAGTACCCCATGTTATGCGAAGGTATAAGACGGCAGAGAGGAGACTTGGCCCAAGCTCTTCTTCTTCACAGTCGCGATAACAGTGCTCGGATTCGCCAAATTATGGATGTTCTCTTGGACAAGAGTCGATATGAATTACCTTGTGCTGCTGGTGGGTCCCAGAAGAAAAAGAAAGTGGAGAGAAGCGACTCTCAAGAAAACAAGAGTGAGGATAGCGAGGCTTCAGGCAACAGTGCTAGCAAAACGAGAGACATCTTAGGGGTACCTACTCGCAGAGGAAGGTAAATCTATTCCCCACCCACCGTACTAGTTAAACTCATTTCATCATATTTGTGTGTGCTCAATTGTTAACGTGTTGGCCGCCAACGAGTCTTCTCAAAGTCATCTAGAGAACTAGAAAATGACTGGGATACTATTTTAAAACTCTCTCCTTTGAGTTACTGACCCGCGAGGCATTTTTCATTGGAGTAGTGTTAGTTCTTGTAACATTTTTGTTTGTTCTTCAAGTTGGCGGCCTATCTGACTGGTAACCAATCTCCGCTAGAGGAAGAATTCTTTAGGCTATGTTTCGTGCCCGCCGATACAGACGTTTCGGAGGAGAGACGACGGCACTTCTGCGAAACGTTTCTAGCGATAAGAAACGTGGAGAGATGGCTGTATTCGCAGGCTACCCTCAAGATCACATTCTCAGAGGAATTTCTAATTCTAAAACCCTAAAAAAACAACATTTATAGTACTTTAGCAAAGCACTACTAGAAACGTTTCGTTTAGACTCTTAACGGTCCCCTGTTTTTGCGGCAAGTGGCTTATTGACACGAGCGGCCTGTTGGGCCATCTCCGAGAGACATTGTTTCGAATGGTTGCAACATTGTTCCAGCATTGCAACGCTATGTTGGGCTGAAAATCGTCGTTACCAATCGTCTTATGTGACATCACCTTAAGGTAGAATTGATACTCTTCCCCAGGTTACACTTCAAGGGGCCATGTTACGTTATTTTCTTTCTTTGAATACCAAAAATAACGGTCCATATTTAAGAAATTATTTAGGAATTGAAACAATTTCCTGTCGTCTGTTACAATGGATGGTAAGGATGGACATGAATTGAAACTTCCAAAAATTAGGCTAGCTTTCTCAAGTTTTGATACTATACCTTCAAAGATAAAAATATATGGTGGTTAGTGCTCCCTTATGAAATTCGTAAGATATTTTGTGCACAACTCTACAGGAGCAAGTAATGACGTCAGCACTGGATTAACCTAAAGCAGCAATATCCTTCTGACATAAATATCAAAATAAAATATCAAACCAAGGTGGTCGCCTGTTCGTGGTATGCGCTCGATGTCGACGATTTTGCAGGAAAATAGGATAAGCGACCGTTAACAGTCTAGGATTCTTTTTTAATTTTCACCATTTTGTACATTACAAGTACTCTTTTCATACGAAGTACCTTAAATGTTGTGATGTGCCCGTTATTTCTTTGACAGTAAAATTAGCGCATGCAATAAATACTTAATTCATTCATTCGCTGAACGAATGGAAAGCCTCCTCCTATTAAAAGAAACGTGTTTGTCTCTTTCATATTTTTCAGCAATGGTCAGAGTTCTTCCAGCACCAGTGATAGCGGTACAGACAGCAGTAAGGACAAAGCCAAGCCAGCTCGTGTAGGGCCCGGAAAACCTGCCAGGCTGACTGCTTCCATGGATGATGAGAGCGGGAGTTCAAGCGGAGTGGATACAGATTCTGTTCCAGTGTGCAGCGAGTATGAAACTCCCGCTACTGTAAGGATAGTCCAAGTTAATAAGGCTGATTATCCAAGAAGCGGAGTGTCTACTGACAAGAGCATTCCATGCTCTGATAAAATCCTTAGCAAGTCGTCCTGTACGCCTGTGTCAACTCAGGGTGTCTCATGTACCGTGGATGGCCTTGACGAAAGAAATCAAATTGCTCCTGAGACGACTGAGGATTTTCCAGTCCGTGAATCGGAAGAACTCTGCGGCTTATCTCTTGCAAAACAAAAGGCCTCAAATTCAGATTTATGTACTTCACCTAATCAAAGCAACCTTGGCCGTCTCACTTCCGACGGTGCTACTCAGCCTCCTGACAGAGAGGCAGTTGAAGATATTCCCCAAGTGTCTGACGTAGCTGAAGATGTAACAAAAGTAGACAATCTGTCTCAACGTATTTCGTCCCTTTTGTCATCAGAACAAGACGATCCAAATGCTCTTACGCTTTGTGTGGCTGAAAGACATGTAAGTGCGTTCCCTCTGGATCAAAGTTGCGGTGTTAGCAGCTCGATTGGCAGAGACCCACGGCCTGAAGGGCCAAAATGCTCGTCGAATGAGGGAGTGTCTGGTCATCCAAGCAAAGTATTGTCCAGCCAGTATCATTCATCTGAGGGTGATGTTTCAGACATCGAAGCAGACTTTGAAGAATCTAAGCCGAGCCCATCGCAGTGTGCTGTGTCCAAAGCCTTTGAGTCAGGCAGTAGTTTGTTGAACAACAATGGCTGCTCAGCCTTAGACGAGAATCCTTCTTCAACATCCTTAGCCGCCACCGCCGACGCCGTATTTGATGAAGACGAAATTTCGGAATCTGCGAATGCTGGCGTTGGAACTGACCAAGAACAATCCACACAGCCTGATGTTGAAGGAGCTGCAGCTGTTGTAGCGCCTTTGGAAACGGCAGAGGAACAGTCTAGTGAATCAGGTGCCAGAGAAAGCGCTAGCGCCAGTGCTGATGATACTGACAGGAGCCGCCGCCGCAATAGGCCTCGCGGTCGTAGGAGAAGAAGAGGCAAATCTGCCCTCTATCAAGCTACCGAGGCTGAGGCACATTTTATGTTTGAACTTGCCAAGACAGTACTAAATAAAGCAGGGGGAAACAATAGCACATCTGTTTTCACGCAGTCCACAAGCAGTGAAACTCATTCCGGTCCTCACAGAGTACTGCAGCTGTGCGCGTTTGAAATTGGCCTGTTTGCCTTAGGACTTCATAACCGGACATCTCCAAACTGGCTGTCACGAACGTACTCATCACACGTATCGTGGATTTCAGGGCAAGCTATGGAAATTGGCCATCAAGCCATAACGATTCTCTTGGAACGATGGGAGGGCAATTTGACACCGTCGGAGGTCGCGTCTATTGCTGACCGGGCGTCAAAGTCTAATGACCGTGCCATGGTGCGTGCAGCAGCTGAACTCGGTCTGTCATGCCTCCACATGGCTACTACTCTGAATCCAGTGGAGATTCAACGCGTTCTGTCTCAGTGTAGAGATGAAGATTCACAGTTATTGGATCAAGCGTGCCAAGCTGTTGAGAGCGCTGCCCGGGGCGGAGGAGTGTACCCTGAAGTTCTCTTTGATGTCGCTAAACACTGGTTCTATCTTCACGAGAAAAACCAGACGAGTAGCACAAACTCATCGCCGAGGCCTGCGAAAAGCGAATCAAGAAGTAGGGGTTCGATGATGCGCTCATGTCAGTCAGCGTCATCGACAAGCCAGTCACCGCCTGTGAGCCCCTTTGCGCCACAGTTCACCGTATCCCCCACCTTCCCATCCATTCCTCCGCCTCTGTATACCACGCCCGAACAATACGTCCAACAGCAAATGCATCAGCAGGTCCACCAAATGATGGGGCATTATCCAGCTTATTTATCAGCAAATAACTCGGGATACCGCTCGGGTTCACAGTCTCATTATGCCTACCCATTTTCGAGAAGTTTATCGGGAACACAGTTTTCATTGACCGGAGCCTATGCTGGCCTTACTCCATGCCCTTATCAAGCGGCGAACTTGACTACGAGTTCCAGCCAGCATCTCAATCGAACAACATCAGGGCAGCCAGGTGCACAGGTTTCATTTTACCTAAACAGCGCCTACAGGGTAGGAATGCTGGCGCTGGAGTTCTTATCAAGACGCACCTCAGACGATCGGCCAAACGTAAAGTTTTCTCGTAACCCCAGCTGCAGCGAGGACATTAGATGGCTTTGCACTCTCTCGGCGAAGCTCGGTACCTCGCATCTTCAGAGGTTCTGCGTGGCCGCGTTAAACGCTGTAGTCAGCCCATTTGTCCTTCATGACCTTGCGTTAGAAGCCGCAAGGCATATGGCGCGATCAAACCCTGCTCAATTAGCTGTTAATCTGCGCTCGCCGACCATCAGCCCCTTAGTGCAGAAGAGCTTGACTATGTACGCACAGTGCATCCATTATAACCTGATCAACATCACGCAAAACGATTATGACGAGTTTGTGGAGCTGCTCAGACATGCGCGCGGTGCGTTTTGCATGGCACCGGGAGGCATGACACAGTTCAATGAACTTTTGCAGAGTATTCGATGGGGACATTCTAAGAAAAAAGAACTTTGGCAAATGATCATGACTGGATTAGCTAAAGCTTAGAATGGGCGCATTGTTGTCAGTCGTTTTATAGGAATGACTCGGAAACGCGATGTAGTAGTTGTGCAAATAATATATTTAAGGCGATTAAAAATGTGACTGGAACTAGAATTCATGAAAACCATCGAAGTATAAAAGAAAAACAATTAAAGCGAAAAGAACTGTACGCTGGCTCTGGACGATCGTTCTCAAAACATCTAGGATCAAATAAACCCAGCCACCGTTTAAAAAATTCCAAAGACGGACACCTAAGTACGTCTGTAGGGGAGACAAAAAAAAGAAAGGGTCGAATTCTTCGGATAATACGAAAACGGAATCCAATACTAAATATCTTTTTATTACCCCTAAAACAAAACTAATACTAACATTCTTTTAAATCAAATTTAATCACGTTTACCGTCAGTTGCCTGAACTCGGCATGACAGTATTTTTAAAATGTATGTTTAGTCTTTCAGATATTTTTCAAATAGCAGTTATCCTTCGAGCTGTATTTTTGTTGCTCTTGTTGTTTTAGGCAGTAGTTCGGTTATTTTTTTTCTTGCGCCAAACGTTTGAAATTTTCCGCCACTTTTCTCTAGCACCATTTGCCGTGCTTTTCTGTACGATTAATGTCATTCATTCACAAACGAATTCTCTATTACTGAACAAAACAACCACAGTATTGAAACAAACAAGAATTTCCTCAAATTTTTGTGGTGAGATTTTCCCAACTTTGCACGAACAATACTTCAGTATATAGTCTAACATGTCGTTAAATTTACATTCCGACTTCGGTGGTAAGGCCTGTAACAGAAACATTGCATTGCGGGTTCACAATCAGTTATCACTCTCTCTCTCTCTGACTGTATTTTTTTAGGACCTTTTCAAAACAAAGCCGAACAAATTGTATCAAACATTTGGTGGTCGCTTAAAAGAGGTGAAAAATAGTAGAACTCTAGTCGGGTCTAATGGCGGCGGCCGCCTAATGGAAGTTAAACTAGACTACAAAACAGTCGGTTTTTTCTCAAAATCGGTTGAATAGCGTAAAGGTAATGAATGTTACACGGGACGATTGGCAATGACGATGTTTAGCGCAGCACAGGTTCAAATGTTGGAACAATATTGCAGTCATTCGAAATAATACAACAATGTTGTAACGCTGTCTTGCGCTTAAAGTCGTCGTGGCGACTCGTCCCGTGTAACATCACCTTAAGAGTCTCATGTGCGAGAAACACTCGTGTCTTGAGGTGAGAGAAAAAATAACTTGCTCTTCCATTATGAAATTATTTTTGGACATTGATTACTGGTCGCATATAAAGGATTACCGCTTAATGGAGCTTCGACTGTATTTAGAAATCAGTTACAAACCTTCTAAATTTCCAATTGAAAGATTACTTAATTTTCTATTAAACCCGACGTTTGCCATCAGTCGTATACCCTATTCACATCAACTAAATACTGTTTTAAAATTGAAGAAGATTTTAAATAATGAAGAGTAAAAGGGAAATGGAACATAGCTTTGATTTACACCGAATTCAAATGAACTTCGAACACGCCGTTATGTAATAGCACCAAATCTGCAATCGAAAACCTTCGGTAGGCGGCTTTTATAGGGAAAACAAATTTAAACTGTGTTAAGTTTTAATTAAAATTGCTTTTAAAAACGTTTAAGCTTGGTGTAAATGAGCCTTAGCTTAGTTACGAATGCGAGGCGACTATCTATGATATAGTCACAGATCTGCCAGATGGTATTTCCATACTTAAAAGGTATCGAACCGGCAAGCTACAAATGAAAGCAAAATTGGAATCATCCACAGCACAGATTTCAGTGAGGCACAACGACAGGTAATTTTCCACAGTAAAAAAAAATCAGCGACGAGAGAAAGCGTTGAACTGTGCGGACAACTGAAGGAAGACAACAGACGGAAGCGACTTCGCCATTTTCCCCTTTCGGATCAATGGCAACAAAGGTATCAAATGTGAGCGAAACAAACCTGACGTGCTTTTTCTTGGACGTTTTTTGGCAACATTCAAGTCACAGCGTCACTGTCAGTGTTGTATCGTCCGTTGTTACCTCTTTGTTTGCGTACACCACAGTTATGGCTAATGGCGCGACAATGTTTGTCATTTGGAAAACAAGAGAACTTCATTCGCCATCATTCACACTGTTGTTTTGCCTAGCTTTTTCTGATTTTCTTGTTGGATTGCTTGGCCAGCCGTTCTTTGTCGCTTTTAAATCAGCTGAACTACTAGGCAAATTCGACGCGTACTGTAAGTTGAGACTTTCGCAGTTTTTCATTGGGTGGATCACGGGAAGTTTATCTTTTGTAATTCTAAGCGGAGTTTCCTTCGATAGACTCCTTTCTTTGAAACTCCACTTGCGATACACAGCTATCATCACAGTTCCAAGGGTGCTAACACTGGTAGCATCAATATTGGTATCTTTGTCTATTTTGACAATTTTAAAGCTGTGGTTGAAGGACAACTGGATTATTATACCCGCCACAATATTTTCAGTGACATCGCTAGTGACTGCCGTAAGCACATTTCAAATCTTCCAGATTGCTCGCAAGCATCAACGTCAGATATTTCAACAGAATCAAACGATGGGTCGACCATTCTGTAGAACAGTCGACGTACTAAAATGCAAAAAGTCGGCCGTGACTGTTCTTTATGTTTATGGATTGATGCTGGCATTTTATCTTCCATTTATTTCAGTCGTCATGAGTGAAGCAATATTAGGTGTTACACAGTCAGTTACTCTCGCTTATGACGTTGCCACAGCCATAGTTTTTATAAACTCGTCGTTAAATCCTTTCATGTATTGCTGGAGAATGGCACAAATACGATTTGCTGTCAAAAATATTCTTAAAAACTTTATCTGAATTTAAAAATGATGCAACTTAACATACGGTAAAGGGGGCAACAACTCAGTTTTCAGCTCGTTCACATGTTTGTATAAATAGTCTCGTCATAATCTGTAACGGTCGCTTTAGATCACTTTGGAAAATGTATGTTGACTAGCATACGAAAAGTCAAGTTTATATAAAAATGACACGCGCGACAGGGGAGAACGCCGTCCCACCTCGCTCGTGTATAGCGCCCTCACTCGATTAGCCCTTTTCTTCGCTCTCCTGAAAAGCGCGAAAAAATAACGCCTGTTGTGCAAGCTAAAATGGATATATATGGTTACCAATTTATGTCTAAAAACAGAAGCTATATGATAAAAGTTACAAGTAGTATAAGTATATAGTAAATATAACAAAGTAAAGTAAAGAGAGATTACTACACTTTTATGAAGCACAAAGCCCCGCGGCGTCTAATAAAAACGTAAAAGCGTAGAGGGGTCGTTGATCAGATATAAGGCGTTTATTTGAGAGAGGGCGTCTATTAGGTCATACCCTGCGAACAGAGTCTCCTTCCATCATCCTAGATAAGTCGGGAAGAGGACGGAACTTCGCTTCCTCTTTCCCGACTTATCTACAAAAGATCGAAGCGACTCTTCTAGCAGGGTAATTAGGTAATTTCCGTTAAACAAACGTTTTCTCTTTGATTTTCAAAATTCTCTTAAACGCACGCGGAAAAGAAAAACAAATGCTTCCATTGGTTGGTTGACATGCTACAATTCGCCATTTCCTCATCTCCCATGATACACCTTGTTCCCCCCCCCCCCCCCCCCACTAAAATTTGAAAAAAATGGCTTTAATTTCCCCTGTCCCAAGAGAAGGTGAGGTCAATGCTTATGCAATTTTTTTGGGAAAACAAGGTGTATTATGGAAGATGTGCAAATGGCGAATCGCAGTTTGAAGGGAAACGATTCTTTTTATGTTGGCTCTATAAGGGTTTTCAGGGTCAACACCTCCCATGTTTGAGCATAAACTTCGTCGTCATTAATAAAGATTTAGAAAAATTGCAAACACAGCTATATTATATAAAGGTGTGATTTTGTGATGATCAGGTTTATAATGACATCAGAGTTGTCTTGTCAACGAAATGACGCCATAACCTATTTTACTTGCAGCTGTATTTCATGGCACTGGGAACTGTTCTTCCAAAATCGTTAACTGAAGCTTTTTTCAGTTTTTTATCCAATACACGCTTCGACTTTCTCAAGTTGAGGCGAGATCTATGAGAGCGTTATCGAGATATCTTGGAATGAAGTTTTTATGGTTAGAAATACGGTAAAAACTCGACAATCTTGATTTTCGACCGTTATGGAGGCCGGTCGTTATCTGTGGAAACGAAGCGCAATTCCAACTCATGGTTGTTTCAATCTTTTTAAAAACGTGCGTGATCGAAAGATCACGGAAGTAGTTATGCTTCAGCAAACTTAACCGGATTTATGTCTTCCCCTGTCTTCCCTTTGATTAATATGAATAACTGTCTTCCTCCAAACTAATTAAGTGCCTAGTCAGTGTCTTCCTCCATACCAATGAGGGTCTTCCTCCGTACTAAATATTTGCCTTTCTGCATACTAATTCGGTATAGGTTTTCTAAAGTGCGTCTCTGTACTACAATAGGCACAAAAGGCTTGCCCGTTAAGTAACTTAAGCCCGGTTTTCGGACCGTACATTGAAAAAAATACGAATAAAAGAAGCGATTACCTATCAACGTGAGAAATGGCTTACTATATCTTATTTAGCGCTAATAATCGGATATATAAACAAAACACACACGTGCATACACAATGTAGAGCTGAAAACTCTTTATTTCAATTTTGTCTGACTATTACAAAACCGTTTTCTCTGTTCTATCTCGAGGAAATGAAAAAAAAAAAAAAAAACTAAACTACATAATCGACCCTACATCACGCGCGTGGTCATTTGTGTGTCTCGGGTGTTTTGCTCGACGGACCAAGAAAGAAGAGAAACTGCCCGTAGTCTAGTCATTCAGGGGCATTGACTCCCAGTTTCATTTTCACGTTAGCAAACAACGCATTTGAAATATGCAGAAATGTTAGCTATTGTTGTTGACGAAAAATGAGGCCATATGGGACGAGTTTTCTTTTTTTTGTATTCAGTACTCACTTGATATTGTTAACACAATTCTCCAAAATATGGACAACGGTAAATTTTCGTGCGGTGTTTTCATCGATCTCAAGAAGGCTTTTGATACTGTTAACCTTGAGATTTTGTTAGGTAAACTTGAGAATTATGGCATTAGAGGTGTAATCATCTCCTGGTTCAGATCATTCGCAAACTACGGAAGTTCATAACGTTATGATTGAGCCTTAGACGACCTTGTGCGGCTCGTCAGGATTAGAATCGGGAGCTTCTTCCTCAAGTTTAGCGTAGGGGACACGCTCATACTCATCGTCTTCGTTCTGAAAGCCAGCATGTGTAGTACAGGACGAAGACTCGAGGAACGAGATTGGGTAGGGGATAGTTCATAAGGGCAGACATACATGTCATGTTCAATAAGAGTTAGAATTGTGTAATTAGAGTCTTGAAGTTGCTTCGTAGTCTCCTCTATTAAATCTTCGGTCCAGAAAACCTCATCACTTTTGCACAGACTACTGGCTCCTCTCAGATTTTGTAAGAAAAGATGAAAACTTCTTTCGTTTCTTTCCCTGACAATGTTTCGCCTTGGCATTCCCTTTGAAAGCACTCCTCCGCTTGCACAGTTTTCGAAATGGTCGCCAAGGAGGTCAAACACTCGAACAAGTCCTCTTCAACGGCAAGGCCCGCGACACATTTAGGCCAAAAAATTAATTCGCGATACCGCGAAAAATAATTCTCGATACACATTAGCAAAATAATTCGAAGTACCACTGAAAAATAATTCGTGGTATGAATAAAAAAGTTATTCGTATAAATATAACAAAAATAATTCGTGCTGGCTAAAAATAATTCGCTGACAGGCTGAAAAAAGTATTGTTTAATGATGACAACAGGTCCATAATAATTGCTGCAGTTGGATTAAAATTGGCTTGCGCTTGCGGTGCAATTTTATTGTCATGATTTTGACCAGAACGGACCTCCAGTATGATCATTGGTTTTCATTGAGGAGAATGTATGGGAACAACAGCAATGATATGGCTCTTGATGGGAAGTAGTTATGGCACTGATTAAAAGAGAAATTCAGAACAGTTGACGTACTAAAATGCAATTTTTAAGTTGCGTATAGAATAGTTCCATGTTGTCATTGAAAGTTCTTGTCATAGTCTGAGCAGCATAGTACGCTCAGTGAACAGAGACCACATCATGTGTCAAGTGGTCACTTACAAGAAGCTAAAAGCAATGGGAAATGATAAAACCATCAGGCCAATAAAGTGGTCACAGTTGCTTATAAGAGGTGGCTGTTTACAAGAGGTTTTTATTATAAGGATTTACTTGGAAAATTTTGGTGTTTTGGATAGGTGGTTGCTTGTGATATAATTATGGTTGCTTGTGATAGGTGGCTGTTTATTAGAGGTGATCCCATGTTGAGGTTTGACCGTTTTTCTGAAAATATTTATACATGCAGTTGTGTCTTATAGGTAGAGCAAGGCATGATCCTGTACCCGCTAGCCGCAAAAACAGACATATTTCCGGTGAAGAGAAGCGAGGACCAGAAATACATCTGCATTCGCAGGCTATTTACCCCCTACAATGCCTCTGTGCTACCCTACAGCACTGACATCATATTTCACATGCTTGCTCTGTGTATAAAATTTCTGTAATGTTAAAATGCTTTGTATTTTTTTTCAGGGAGAGGTGGTGGTCATACAATCCCTCAGTCAATGATGTCTTGTTTTCCTGGTTTCTTACCTGCAATAGAGGCATGCTCCCTCAACTGGAAGAACATTGACCTTGGTATTGATCTGGAAGAGTTTGATTCTCAAGGTTCACCTCCTCTCACTCTTCCTTGTGCAAGAATCTATGCTCCATGTTCAGACAAAGATCCAGAGAGTGAACAACAACAGTCAACCACTACTGTCAGGGATCTCGTTACAGGAAAAGAGTGAGTAGCATGTGTTTATGATGGTAATAGAACTAAGTGGAGTCCAATTCGGTCAGAAATCATACAAGTCATTAACAAAATGGAATGGCCGCATAGCAGGAGTCTGATTTGTTTAATCACGAGTATGTCAGATTACAGACCGATTTGGAGAACACAAAGTTCTGTTACCAATTAATCATAACTATAGCAAAATTTGAGATAATTATTTAATTAATTATCTATATTAATTTTTAATTTAGAAAACATAGGATATTCCTAGAGCTTTTTTTTTGCTAGAAGTAAAATTAGAAACCCATTCAAGTGTGCGCGATGGTGTGTACTGTCCAGTTACTTAGGTATGATGTGTCCCGTCCTATTACACTGTCCTATTAATGCTAAAATCAGGACAGCTGATAGCCAATCAGATTTGAGAGTTTTGGTTTAGTTATGGTTAGTGTAGAAATGGTGTCCTTATTTCATCTGCTGACAGAGGGAATTTTATGACATGGTCATATACATAATAAGATAAAACAGTAAACCATTGAGGCTTCAAAGACTACACAGGATGCCCAAGGTAGTGTATTTTAAAGAATACTCGTGTCTTCTATGACTTTGTAATTCTAAACGTTGCAATATATTTTAAATTCCTTGCTTAATATGGAAAGATATTGAAGTCTTTCCATACTGGGTTTGGATGTGATGTGTGGTATGACAATATTTAGTGGAGGTTGATTGTCCCTCTGACCAAGTTGTTCAAAGATAAATGATGCTATTCACCAGATAAGCCATTATCCAGTGAAGAAGTTTTGGGGAAACAATGCGCGCTATCTAGTGGAGAGAGATTTTCTGATGGATGGCGTTAACTACCTTTAAAACAACTGTGGCCTATTGGTTTAGAGAGCCGTGCTAAATTTCATTTGATATTCTTTTGCGTGGATCCTAATTTGTTTTCAGCGACCAAAACAACCAGACTGTGAATGAAGAAAACCCAAGCAGTGCTTGGGAAAGTGACTGCCGTCCCATCCCAGTACAAGACATTGACGATGACCTTGAGGTTTTGTGCGCTCGAACAGAAGCTCTTCACGTTCATGGTTATCACATTGTTGCTGGAAAGCTTGCTGTGAAACTGGCTGATAACTTTTTGAGTTACGGTACAAAATTAAATTTGTCCTCTCACTGTAATGGTTCAAAAAGCAAGAACAAGGGTGTAGGAGCTACTTCACTCGCGAGTACATTATTGGTGAAGGCAGCCTTTCTTTGTCGCGTGCTTGAAGATGACCTGCAGTTCCATCATTTGGCTTTTAGAGTTGGTATGTTGGGTCTAGAGATCCCACGTCAACCAGCAAGGAGTAAAGCTTTAGAGGTAAAAACACCGCTTGCGATACTGTAGACTTTCTCTGTTACTGAGTGCTATGCACTTTAGGCCATATCCTTTTTCATTATATGGCTGAATCCTCTAGCCGGCGAGATAAAGCGAATGCTATGGTTTGATTGGCTACCCAAGAGGGTACGATGGGCATCTTGTCAGCTTATGATTTTCCGCTTTAGTCCAGTAAGAAATAGTTCTCTTTTTGACCATATAGTAAATCTTTCATTGACCAACCTTGTTCGATCATTGAAGATGCCTGAATATTGCCTCGTCCAATAACCAACCTTGATCGAACAAACTTGGTCAACAGCGTAACTATATATAATGTCTAACGGACCATTCATTTTTTTGTGAAAGATTCCAAACCCAGAAAGGATTGATTACATTAAATCTAGCTAGGGTTCATGATCCATGTGTTTCCCAACGTTTCACCGTCTTGCGCCGAAATTGCTCTAAACAGCAGCAACAAGGCTTAAGACAGTAATTATTCACTTAAGTTGCAAAACGGGTTTATTGCAGAAGTGTCTCAACTGTTTTGCAAGTGTTTGTGGACTCTGTTAACTGAATCAAAAGGTCATTGCTTTCTGTCAGGAAATCTTTATGCTGGCTAACCCTTGACAACCTTTCTTGTTCACGTCTCAGGTGAAACTTTCATATCAAGAAACTGAACTTGTTACCTTGCTAAAGAGACTTCCCCTTGCACACGCTGAACTAGCTATTATCCGAGAGAAGGCAGAGCTATTACAGCAAGGTCAGCTGAAACGAGGAGACGCCGTTCTTCCCATCATGTTGGCTACCTTTATCTTTGAAGTTTTGTGCCCAAAGAATGGTGGCTCACAAGCAAAGCGGCAGGCCACAGTGAAGCTGTGCGAGATAACCCAGGAAGATGAAGAGCTGGGATTCCAAGCTACGCTCTTTGTTTTAGGTACAGCACAGTTTACATGGAACTTAGCCTGCGAAAACAGCCGTTTCTCCTCGCTCCTCACCTCTTGGGATGTTTCGTTTCTCTCCAGGCAAAACGGCCCATCGGCGAGGAGCGAGGAGAAACGGCTGTTTTCGCAGACTAATGGGCTCCCTGGAACTGAGGCTTTCTTTTCTCTTGTTGTAAAACTCTTAACCGTCCTATATTAATGCTTGTGAGAAAACTTGTTACGAAATTCTCCTTTCTTTCACAGTTAAATAAAAAGCCTTATTTAATAGATCAATTTCTCCCATAAAGATTTTTTCTAATTCCTTTTATTTAGGTTTCTTTGTACATGTTTTATTATTATTGCATCTCGGTTCGTAAAATCGACAGAACGAAGGAAGCCAATATTCAGCCATTTTGACCCAGTCAAGAAAGGATATACCAAGTTAATGGGTTCTAACGGCAACAAAGTGAGCAATGCCGAATGGGCCAGTATGTCCACCTAGTCTCCTCGGATTAACAATAAGATCACAATATTCACCTCATTGCCCAGTCAAGTACAGGGATAGTTATATCAACCAGTGCGTTAATGGGATAAATTAACGTCCGCGAAGAGTTTCGTTCTTTAGGTAACAGGGCCTCGTAGCTCTGGAACAATAGCTTATTGCTGTAGTAGTACTTGCGAGTTTCCGTCAGTAATCTTGAAGTTCACTGTACGTTTGCTTGCAGAAATCCCAGTGGTTATTAGACTATATTTAACGTTTGCTAATGGAAGCTTCTTCCTTTCCCAGGAATGAAAGGCAATGCTTTAGAGACCCAGTACCCCATGCTATGCGAAGGTATAAGACGGCAGAGAGGAGACTTGGCCCAAGCTCTTCTTCTTCACAGTCGCGATAACAGTGCACGGATTCGCCAAATTATGGATGTTCTGTTGGACAAGAGTCGATATGAATTACCTTGTGCTGCTGGTGGGTCCCAGAAGAAAAAGAAAATGGAGAGAAGCGATTCTCAAGAAAACAAGAGTGAGGATAGCGAGGCTTCAGGCAACAGTGCTACGAAGACGAGAGACATCTTAGGTGTACCTACTCGGAGAGGAAGGTAAATCCATTCCCCACCCACCCGTACTAGTTTAACTCATTTCATCATATTTGTCAAGGTGTTGGTCGCCAATGAGTCTTCTCAAAGTCATCCAGACAAACAGAAAATGACTGGGATAATGTTCAAACTCTCTCCTTTGAGTTACTTACCCGCGAGGCATTTTTCATTTCTGTAGTGTTAGTTCTTGTAAATTTGCTGCTTGTGCCTAAAGTTGGAGGCCTATCTGACTGGTAACCAATCTCAGCTAGAGGAAGAATTCTTTAGGCTACGTGTCATGCTCGCCGATACAGACGTTTCGGAGGAGAGACGACGACTCTTCCGCGAGACATTTCTAGCGATAAGAAGCGTGTAGAGATGGCTGCATTCACGGGCTACGCTCAAAGATCACTTTCTCAGAGGAATTTACAATTCTAAAACCCTAAGAAAACAACATTTATAGTACTTTAGCAAAGTACTACTAGAAAGGTTTCGTTTAGACTCTTAACGGTCCCCTGTTTTTGCTGTAAGTGGCTTATTGAATCGAGCGGCCTGTTGGGCCATCTCCGAGAGACATTGTTTCGAATAGTTGCAACATTGTTCCAGCGTTGCAACGCTCTGCTGGACTGAAAATCGTCGTTACGAATCGTCTTGTGAGACATCACCTTTAGGTAGAATTGATACTCTCTCCCAGGTTACACTTCAAGGGACTATGTCACGTTATTTGCTTTCTTTGAATGCCAAAAATAACGTTCCATATTTAAGAATTTATTTAGAAATTGAAACTGTTTCCTGTCGTCTCTTACAATGGATGGTAAGGATGGACATGAATTGAAATTTCCAAAAATCAGGCTAGCTTTTTCAAGTTTTAATACTATACCTGCAAAGATAAAAATATATGGTGGTTAGTGCTCCCCTATGAAATTTGTAAGATATTTTGTGCACAACTCTACAGGAGCAAGTAATGACGTCAGCACGGGATTAACCTAAAGCAGCAATATCCTTCTGACTTAAATATCAAAATAAAATATCAAACCAAGGTGGTCGCCCGTTCGTGGTACGCGGTCGATGTCGACAATTTGGCAGGAAAATAGGACAAGCGACTGTTAACAGTCTAGGTTTCATTTTTAATTTTCACCATTTTGTACATTACAAGTACTCTTTTCATACGAAGTACCTTAAATGTTGTGATGTGCCCCTTATTTCTTTGACAGTAAAATTAGCGCATGCAATAAATACTTAATTCATTCATTCGCTGAACGAACGAATGGAAAGCCTCCTCCTATTAAAAGAAACGTGTTTGTCTCTTTCATATTTTTCAGCAAGGGTCAGAGTTCTTCCAGTACCAGTGATAGCGGTACAGACAGCAGTAAGGACCAAGGAAAGCCAGCTCGTGTAGGGCCCGGAAAACCTGCCAGGCTGACTGCTTCCATGGATGATGAGAGCGGGAGTTCAAGCGGAGTGGATACAGATTCTGTTCCATTGTGCAGCGAGTATGAAACTCCTGCTGCTGTAAGGATAGTCTAAGTTAATAAGGCTGATTATCCAAGAGGAGGAGTGTCTACTGACAAGAGCATTCCATGCTCTGATAAAATCCTTAGCAAGTCGTCCTGTACGCCTGTGTCAACGCAGGGTGTCTCATGTAGCGTGGATGGCCTTGACGAAAGAAATCAAGTTGCTTCTGAGACGACTGAGGATTTTCCAGTCCGTGAATCGGAAGAACTCTGCGGCTTATCTCTTGCAAAACAAAAAGCCTCAAATTCAGATTTATTTACTGCACCTAGTCAAAGCAACCTTGGCCGTCTCACTACCGACAGTGCTTCTCAGCCTCCCAACAGAGAGGCAGTTGAAGATATTCCCCAAGTGTCTGACGTAGCTGAAGATGTAACACAAGTAGACAATCTATCTCAACGTATTTCGTCACTTTTGTCAACAGAACAAGACGATCCAAATGCTCTTACGCTTTGTATGGCTGATGGACATGTAAGTGCGTTCCCTCTGGATCAAAGTTGCGGTGTTAGCAGCTCGATTGGCAGCAACCCACGGCCTGAAGGGCCAAAATGCTCGTCTAATGAGGGAGTGTCTGGTCATCCAAGCAAAGTATTGTCTAGCCAGTATCATTCATCTGAGGGTGATGTTTCAGACGTCGAAGCAGACTTTGAAGAATCTCAGCCGAGCCCATCGCAGTGTGCTGTGTCCAAAGCATTTGAGTCAGGCAGTAGTTTGCTGAACAACAATGGCTGCTAAGCCTTAGATGAGAATCCTTCTTCAACATCCTTAGCCGCCACCGCCACTGCCGCCGCCGTATTTGATGAGGACGAAATTTCAGAATCTGCGAATGTTGCGTTGGAACTGACCAAGAACAATCCACACAGCCTGATGTTGAAGGAGCTGCAGCTGTTGTAGCGCCTTTGGAAACGGCAGAGGAACAGTTTAGTGAATCAGGTGCCAGAGGAAGCGATAGCGCCAGTGCTGATGATACTGACAGGAGCCGCCGCCGCAATAGGCCTCGCGGTCGTAGGAGAAGAAGAGGCAAATCTGCCCTCTATCATGCCACCGAGGCTGAGGCACATTTCATGTTTGAACTTGCCAAGACAGTACTAAATAAAGCAGGGGGGAACAATAGCACATCTGTTTTCACGCAGTCAACAAGCAGTGAAACTCATTCCGGTCCTCACAGAGTACTGCAGCTGTGCGCGTTTGAAATTGGCCTGTTTGCCTTAGGACTTCATAACCGGACATCTCCAAACTGGCTGTCACGAACGTACTCATCACACGTATCGTGGATTTCAGGGCAAGCTATGGAAATTGGCCATCAAGCCATAACGATTCTCTTGGAACGATGGGAGGGTAATTTGACGCTGTCGGAGGTCGCGTCTATTGCTGACCGGGCGTCAAAGTCTAATGACCGTGCTATGGTGCGTGCAGCAGCTGAACTCGGTCTGTCATGCCTCCACATGGCTACTACTCTGAATCCAGTGGAGATTCAACGCGTTCTGTCTCAGTGTAGAGATGAAGATTCACAGTTATTGGATCAAGCGTGCCAAGCTGTTGAGAGCGCTGCCCGGGGCGGAGGAGTGTACCCTGAAGTTCTCTTTGATGTTGCTAAACACTGGTTCTATCTTCACGAGAAAAACCAGACGAGTAGCACAAACTCATCGCCGAGGCCTGCCAAAAGCGAATCAAGAAGTAGGGGTTCGATGATGCGGTCATGTCAGTCAGCGTCATCGACAAGCCAGTCTCCGCCTGTGAGCCCCTTTGCGCCACAGTTCACCGTATCCCCCACCTTCCCATCCATTCCTCCGCCTCTGTATACCACGCCCGAACAATACGTCCAACAGCAAATGCATCAGCAGGTCCACCAAATGATGGGGCATTATCCAGCTTATTCATCAGCAAATAACTCGGGATACCGCTCCGGTTCACAGTCTCACTATGCCTACCCATTTTCGAGAAGTTTATCGGGAACACAGTTTTCATTGACCGGAGCCTATGCTGGCCTTACTCCATGCCCTTATCAAGCGGCAAACTTGACTACGAATTCCAGCCAGCATCTCAATCGAACAACATCAGGGCAGCCAGGTGCACAGGTTTCATTTTACCTAAACAGCGCCTACAGGGTAGGAATGCTGGCGCTGGAGTTCTTATCAAGACGCACCTCAGACGACCGGCCAAACGTGAAGTTTTCTCGTAACCCCAGCTGCAGCGAGGACATTAGATGGCTTTGCACTCTCTCGGCGAAGCTCGGTACCTCGCATCTTCAGAGGTTCTGCGTGGCCGCGTTAAACGCTGTAGTCAGCCCATTTGTCCTTCATGACCTTGCGTTAGAGGCCGCAAGGCATATGGCGCGATTAAACCCTGGCTGTTAATCTGCGCTCGCCGATCATCAGCCCCTTAGTGCAGAAGAGCTTGACTATGTATGCACAGTGCATCCATTATAACCTGATCATCATCTCGCAAAACGATTATGATGAGTTTGTGGAGCTGCTCAGACATGCGCGCGGTGCGTTTTGCATGGCACCGGGAGGCATGACACAGTTCAATGAACTTTTGCAGAGTATTCGATGGGGACATTCTAAGAAATAAGAACTTTGGCAAATGATTATGACTGGATTAGCTAAAGCTTAGAATGGGAGCATTGTTGTCAGTCGTTTTATAGGAATGACTCGGAAACGCGATGTAGTAGTTTTGCAAATAATATATTTAAGGCGCTTAAAATTGTGAATGTGGAACTAGAATTCATGAAAACCATCGAAGTATAAAATAAAAACAAATAAAGCGAAAAGAACTGTGCCCTGGCTCTGGACGATCGTTCTCAAAACATCTAGGACCAAATAAACCCAGCCACGGTTTAAAAAATCCCAAAGACACCTAAGTACTTCTGTAGGGGAGACAAAAAAGAAATTGTCGAATTCTTCGGGTAATACGAAAACGGAATCCAATACTAAAAATCTTTTTATTACCCCTAACCCAAAACTAATACATTCTTTTAAATCAAATTCAATCACGTTTACCTCGATCGATGTAAACTTCCCGTCAGTTGCCTGAACTTGCCAAATTCAGTATTTTTAAATGTATGTTTAGTCTTTCAGATGTTTTTCAAATAGCAGTTGTAATCCGTAGAGTTGTATTTTTGCAGTTCTTGTTGTTTTAGGCAGTAGTTCGGTTATTTTTTTTCTTGCGCCAAAGGTTTGAAATTTTCCGCCATTTTTCTCTAGCACCATTTGCCGTGCTTTTCTGTACGATTAATGTCATTCATTCACAAACGAATTCTCTATTACTGAACAAAACAACCACGGTATTGAAACAAACAAGAATTTCCTCAAATTTTTGTGGTGAGATTTTCCCAACTTTGCACGAACAATACTGCAGTATATAGTCTAACATGTCGTTAAATTTACATTCCGACTTCGGTGGTAAGGTCTGTAACAGAAACATTGCATTGCGGGTTCACAATCAGTTGTCACTCTCTCTCTCTCTGACTGTATTTTTTTTAGGACCTTTTCAAAGCCGAACTAATTGTATCAAACATTTGGTGGTCGCTTAAAAGAGGTGAAAAATAGTAGAACTCTAGTCGGGATGACCAAAAGGTCTAATGGCGGCGGCCGCCTAATGGAAGTTAAACTAGACTACAAAACAGTCGGTTTTTTCTCAAAATCGGTTGAATAGCGTAAAGGTAATGTTACACGGGACGATTGGCAATGACGATGTTTAGCGCAGCACAGGTTCAAATGTTGGAACAATATTGCAGTCATTCGAAATGATATAACAACAATGTTGTAACGCTGTCTTGCGCTGAAAGTCGTCGTTGCGAATCGTCCCGTGTAACATCACCTTAAGAGTCTCATGTGCGAGAAACACTCGTGTCTTGAGGTGAGACGAAAAATAACTTGCTATTCCATTGGGCAATTATTTTTGGACATTGATTACTGGACTCTTATAAAGGATTGCCGCTTAATGGAGCTTCGACTGTATTTAGAATCAGTTACAAGCCTAAATTTCCAATTGAAAGATTACTTAATTTTCTATTAAACCCCGATGTTTGCCATCAGTCGTATACCCCATTCACATCAACTAAATATTGTTTTTAAATTGAAGAAGATTTTAAATAATGAAGAGTAAAAGAGAAATGGAACTTAGCTTTGATTTACACAGAATTCAAATGAACTTCAAGCACGCCGCTATGTAACAGCACCAAATTTGCAATGGAAAACCTACGGTAGGCGGCTTTTATGGGGAAAACAAATGTAAACTGCGTTAACTTTTAATTGGAATTGCTTCTAAAAACGTTCAAGTTTGGTGTAAATGAGGCTTAGCTCAGTTCCGAATGCGAGGCGAATATCTAAGTTACACATCTGCCAGATGGTATTTCCATACTTAACAGAGGCGGATCCAGGATTTTTCGTAGGAGGGGGTGCACTACTAAGGAATGGCGTAATTGACTGGTGACGTAAACAAATTTTAATAGCGAATACGAAGAAGAAGGCTTTCGACTAGGCAATAACATAATGTGAACTGCTGAGAATACATATCAAATGATAAAGCAGATTTTGTATAACTGTGAAGCAGACTGCACAGTGTTAATTAGAAAGCCGCAGGTCATTTCAGGGGTAGGGGGCGTGCGCACCCCCTGTACCCTCCCCCTAGATCTGCCCCTGCTTAAAAAGTATCGAACCGCCAAGCCACAGATGAAAGAAAAATCGAAATCATCCACAGCACAGATTTCAGAGCGGCACAACGACAGGTAATTTTCCACAGTAAAAACAAAAATCAGCGAGTAGAGAGAGCGTTGAACTCTGCGGACAACTGAAGGAAGACAACACACCGTGACGGAAGCGACTTCGCCATTTCCCGTTTTCATATCAATGGCAACAAAGGTATTAAATGTGAGCGAAACAAACCTGACGTGTTTTTTCTTGAAAGTTTTTTGGCAACATTCAAGTCGCAGCATCACTGTCAGTGTTGTATCGTGCGTTGTTACCTCTTTGTTTGCTTACACTGCAGTTATGGCTAATGGCGCGACAATGCTTGTGATTTGGAAAACAAGAGAACTTCATTCGCCATCATTCACACTGATGTTTTGCCTGGCTTTTTCTAATTTTCTTGTTGGATTGCTTGGCCAGCCGTTATTCGTCGCTTTTAAATCAGCGGAACTACTTGGCAAGTTCGACGCGTACTGTAAGTTGAGACTTTCGCAGTTTTTCATTGGGTGGATCACGGGAAGTTTATCTTTTGTAATTGTAAGCGGAGTTTCCTTCGATAGACTCCTTTCCTTAAAACTCCACTTGCGATACACGGCTACCATCACAGTTCCAAGGGTGCAAACACTGGTAGCATCAATATTGGTATCTTTGTCTATTTTGACAGTTTTAAAGCTGTGGTTGAAGGACAACTGGATTATCATACCCGCCACAATATTTTCAGTGACGTCGTTAGTGACTGCCGTAAGTACATTTCAAATCTTCCAGATTGCTCGCAAGCATCAACGTCAGATATTTCAACAGAATCAAACGATGGGTCAACCATTCTGCAGAACAGTCGACGTACTAAAATGCAAAAAGTCGGCCGTGACTGTGCTTTATATTTATGGGTTGATGCTGGCATTTTATCTTCCGTTTATTTCAGTCGTCATGAGTGAAGCAATATTAGGTGTTACACAGTCACTTACTCTCGCTTATGACGTTGCCACAGCCATAGTTTTTATAAACTCGTCGTTAAATCCTATCATTTATTGCTGGAGAATAGCACAGATACGATTTGCAGTCAAAAATATTCTTAAAAACTTTATCTGAATTTAAAAATGATGCAACTTAACATACGGTAAAAGGGGGAACAACTCAGTTTTCAGCTCGCTCACATGTTTGTATAAATAGTCTCGTCGCAATCTGTAACGGTCGCCTTAGATCACTTTTGAAAATATATAGTCTAGCATAAGAAAAGTCAAGTTTATATACAAAGGACACGCGCGACGGGGGAAGGCGCCTCCCCCCTCGCTCGTGTCTGGCGCTACTCGCTCGATTCGTACTTGCCTTCGCTCGCCTGAAAAGCGCGAAAAATAACGCCTGTTGTGCAGAGTGAAATGGGTTTATATAGTTACAAATTTATGTATAAAAGCAGAAGCTATATGCTTCTGATAAAAGTTACAAGTAGTATAAGTATATAGTAAATATGACTGAAGTAACACTTTCATGAAGCGCAAAGCCCCCCAGCGTCTAATAAAAACTTAAAAGCGTAGAGGGGCCGTTTATCAGATATAAGGCGTTTATTTGAGAGAGGGCGTCTATTAGGTCATTTCTGGTAAACAAAGACGGGTTGCTCTTTGATTTTCAAAATTCTCTTGATAGCCCGCGGAACAGAAACACAAATGCTCCCATTGGTTTGTTTGACATCCGACAATCCGTCATTTCCTCATCTCCCATGATACACCTTGTTTCCCCCACCCCAACCCCCCTTTAAAAATGAAAAAAAAAAAAAATGGCTTTACTTTCTCCTGGCTATTACAGTGGTCCCAAGAGAAACTGAGGACAATGCTTATGGAAATATTTTGGGGAAAACAAGGTGTATTATGGAAGATGGAAATGGAGAATCGCAGTTTGAAAGAAAATGATACTCTTGTGAGAGTGGCTCCATAAGGGTCGTCAGGGTCACACCTCCCACGCTTGAGCGTAAACTTCGTCGTCATTAATAAAGATTTGGAAAAATTGTCAACTCAGCTGTATTAGATAAAGGTAGGAATTTGTTATGATCAGGTTTATAATGACACCAGAGTTGTCTTATCTACGAAATGACGCCATTACTTATTTCACCTGTAGCCGTATTTCTCGGCACTGGGAACTGTTCTTCCAAAATCGTTCACGGAAGCTTTTTTCTCCAATATCCGCGTCGACTCTCGTGAAGTTTACGTGAAATCTATGAGAGCGTTATCCAGATATTTTGGGATGAAGTTTTTATGGTTAGAAATGTGGTAAAAACTGGACAATCTTGACGTTCGACCGTTCTCTCTATGAAGCCCTTTCGTTATCTGTGCAGGAAACGAAGCGCAATTCCAACTCATAGTTGTTTCAATCTTTTTTTAAAAAAACGTGCGTGAAAGATCACGGAGATAGCTTTGGCCGATTGCTAGTCAGAAAGAAGGATTTGATTAGTATTTGATTAGTATGATTATATTATTACTTGGCTCCCTGTGGTTCGGTTAAAACATTATATATTCTAAATAAATGAAAGTTTGGGTGTAATCGCCCCATTTAATGGTTTTGGATTCAAGATTATTCGCGGTGGATTCCGGATTCCAGGTACTGGATTCCAGGCTTTGTCAGTGGAATTGGGATTCTGGATTCCAAAACGGTTGTGGGATTCCGGATTCCTTGAG